CAGAGAAAGGGGCTGGACTTTGGAGAACTATGATGCCCAGGATCCTGAGAGTTGTAGTTTTCCAAGGTCCAGAGCCTGAGCTGAGTGCATCTACACTTTGAGTCCCCTTCCTTTCGGGAAAGCTAAACCAAGGTATACATTAATAATAATAACAATAACAACAACAAATCCCATCACAGTGAGCTTCAGGAATGAAAGTGATTGCGAATCTACATTCATTTTTCTGTGATCGGTGCACCTTTAGGCGCTTCAAAGGATTGTGTGGCTAAAACTATGCATAAGTTAGAATTTTAAATTGCTATCTGGCATAAAAGGGAGCAAGGAGAGAAAAGATGTGGGAGGAACATGGAAACCAGGACCCAGCCCTTGCCTTTTATCTCTTGCCAGATCCACTCCCTTTTCCATTGCCTTTGGGCTCCGAAAATCCTTGGAAATGGGGCAGGAAGAGGCCCTTTTTTGTCCCAAAGAGACTCATCACCCCCATTGAACGGGTGGCTCGTGAGTCACAGCTATAAAAGGGGCAGTGATGAAACTACCTTTTTGTGGCATGTATGCAAGAAGTTTCAGGAAATGCATCGCTTTACAACTATTCCATGCCCTTAAACGGTAGGCAAGGACACCTATGCATCCCCAGCCAAGCCCTTGGATACTACAACTTCCTGTGGCTGGGTTTGAAAGGAAGGAAATCCTGTGCCACCTTTGAGATCAATATTTGTGTTTGTGCAAGAGCTCTGCAGTGTATAATTAGCATCATAAAACACATGGAGTATGTATTGTCGAAGGCTTTCGTGGCCGGAATCACTGGGTTGTTGTAGGTTTTTTCAGGCTATATGGCCATGGTCTAGAGGCATTCCCTCCTGACGTTTTGCCTGCATCTATGGCAAGCATCTCACTCTCATGGTCACTCTCACTACCTCTGAGGATGCTTGCCATAGATGCAGGCGAAACGTCAGGAGAGAATGCCTCTAGACCATGGCCATATAGCCCGAAAAAACCTACAACAACCCACATGGAATATGCACGTATACATTCCGGTCTGTCTATCTATTATATACTAGCCGTCCCCTGCCAGGCATTGCTGTGTCCCAGTCTGGTGATCTGGAAAATAAAGTAATGAGAAAGTGTTGGTTTCTAATATATGTCATTTATTTATGCTTATAGGTAAATAAGTATTTCTATCTGTTTCTTTGTCAGTATTGATGTGGAGATTGTCTGGTTTGCCTACTCGGGAACATGCAATATATAATTGTCCTTCTTTGGTGGTCCCTTTCAAATCTAGGATACTATATCTGTGTGTGAATCATATCTATCTATCTATATCTATGGCTGGATGGCTCTTTGTCAGGAGGGCTTTGATTACGTTTTCTTGCCCTGGTGAAGGGAGTTGGACTGGGTGGCCTTAAGTATTTTCTGTTGGTCATGGGGTTCTGTATGGGAAGTTTGCCCCAATTTTGTCATTGGAGGGGTTCAGGGTGCTCTCTGATTGTAGGTGAACTATAAATCCCAGCAACTACAACTCCCAAATGTCAAGGTCTATTTCCCCCAAACTCCATCTGTGTGCATATTTGGGCATATGGAATATTCGTACCAAGTTTGGTGCAGATCCATCATTGTTTGAGTCCACAGTGCTCTCTGAATATAGGTGAACTACAACTCCCAAACTCAAGGTCAATGCCGACCAAACCCTTCTAGTGTTTTCTGTTGTTCGTGGGAATTTTGTGTGCCATGTTTGAATCAATTCCATCATTGGTGAAGTTCAGAATGCTCTTTGATTGTAGGTGAACTATAAATCCCAGCAACTACAACTTCCAAATGACAAAATCAATTTTTGAGTGTTGGCACACACTCCCTAAGATGCACTTTCTGTCCTGGTTCGGGTTGGGGGAGGATGGACCACAAGTGATGGTATTTGCAGTACCTTCACCCACTTCCAGAGACCACTGCAATCCTCATGAATGATGGGCCTGGACCACATATGGAATACAAAAACCCCATGACCCACAGAACATACTGGAGGGATTTGGGGAACTGGGAGTTATAGTTCAACCTGTACCCAGAGCACTCTGAACTCCACCGATGACGAATCTGGACCAAACTTTGAACACAGAACCCTGGTGACCAACAGAACATACTGGGGGTGTTTGTTGGGGGGACCGACCTACTCACGTGGGAGTTGTAGTTCACCCTGAATCCAGAGCATTCTGAACCCCATCAATAACTGATTTGGACCAAACTTGGCACACAGACCCCACATGCCCAACTGTTTGGGGGTGATTGCCCTGGGAATCTGGGAGTTGTAGTTCGGCTGTATCCAGAGAAACCGTGACCCCTTATCGACAATAGATCGGGATCAAACTTGGCACAGAGAAGCTCCATGACCAACTGAACATATTGCAGGGGTTTGTGGGAATTGAACTTGACTTTTGGGAGTTGTAGTTCACTTGCATCCAGAGAGCACTGAATGCAGCCAACCTCGGATCTGGACCAAACTTGGCACATAGACGGAACATGGACAACTGTGCATGCAGGCCTGGTTTGGAGAGAACTGATCCACGATTCTGGGGATTGTAGTTCACCCACTTCCTTATGCTTTTTTAATGGGAGCATTCATAAATAACCAAATCAAAATCTGGCTTTTTTCTAATTAACTAAACAAACAATGTATTTTTTCAAATAACCCGGGCACTGCTGGGTACCCAAGCTAGTAATTCCTATAACTGAATGTGTGTGTGTGTTTGTGTGTGTGTGTGTGTGTATGTATATGTATGTGTGTGTGTGTGTGTGTGTGTGTGTGTGTGTATATATATATATATATATATATATATATATATATATAAAAACAACTGAGCTTTCAGACATTTGTTTATATATATTTCTTGAAAGTATTGGGAGTATAAATAGGTGAACTAATATATAAATATTAAAAATACAGTTAAGGCTTATGCATTTGACTACGGCAAAAATAAACCCCAAGGTGTTTACTGGAGGAGAGACAGAGTCCATGTTTTCGGAATGTAGGGTCAGGGCAAAGAGCAAAGAAATCCTAATAAATGGAACGGGGCCTCTTTGGGGCAGCGCATTGGTCTGATCCTGCTGGACACTGAAGCCCAGGCTTCACCGGCAAGGGATTCCTGTCCTCCGCAGCCTGTTTGCTTAAGCCTTTGCTCTCAAGGGCAGACTGCTTTTGGTTTGACTTTTGAGAGGCCAAAGTCCGGACTCGGGATTTGGGGTTGTCAAGGGTCTGGGTCCCCTCTGCAAAGGTGTGAGCCATTGCACGGATTTGGGCAATCCATTAGAAAGGGCAAACAAGCCCTGCCCTTTTGCAAGATGTTATCTGGGATCAGGGCTTATCCTCATTGGAGGAGGAGGAGGAGTTGCATTCCAAAAGACTCAAATTAGAAAACGCCTCCCTTCGCTCCTTCGTTCGCACAAGCCTTGCGGCCAGAGGGCCAAAGGTCAGCTGTCCAGCCAGATAAATGTTGGTTCAGGGCCCTCGGAGTATATAATAGCAGGGTTCCCAAGCTCCAGCTTTAAAGCCTTAAGGAGGTTATTGTTGTCCAGCAAACAAATGGGCGGTTGTCCTTGCAAAATACATGTGTTATTGTCTCCCATGTAAAGCCTAATATAAGCATAGAAAAATGACTGGTGTTGTTTTAAGTAGCGGCTGGATGACCATCTGTTGGGAGAGTTTGGGTTGTGTCCTCCTTCATGGAAACAGAAGGGGGTTCGACTGAATGCCCCTTCCAACACTTATGATTCTAAGCAGTGGCTGGATGGCCGTCCGTTGGGAGGGTTTGGGTTATGTTCTCCTTTATGGACACAGAAGGGGGTTGGACCGAATACCCCTTCCAACACTATGATTCCAAGCAGAGACTGGATGGCCATCTGTTGGGAGGGTTTGGGTTGTGTCCTCCTACATGGACACAGGAGGGAGTTGGACCGGATGCCCCTTCCAACACTCTGATTCCAAGGAGAAGCTAGATGGCCATTTGTTGGGAGGGTTTGGGTTGTGTCCTCCTTTATGGACACAGAAGGGGGTTGGACCGAATACTCCTTCCAACACTATGATTCCAAGCAAAGGCTGGATGGCCATCTGTTGGGAGGGTTTGGATTGTGTTCTCCTTTATGGACACAGAAGGGGGTTGGACCGGATGCCCCTTCCAACACTATATGATTCCAAGCAGAGGCTGGATGGCTATCTGTTGGGAGGGTTTGGGTTGTGTCCTCCTACATGGACACAGGAGGGAGTTGGACCGGATGCCCCTTCCAACACTCTGATTCCAAGCAGAAGCTGGATGGCCATCTGTTGGGAGGGTTTGAGTTGTGTCCTCCTTTATGGACACAGAAGGGGGTTGGACAGAATACCCCTTCCAACACTATGATTCTAAGCAGAGGCTGGATGGCCATCTGTTGGGAGGGTTTGGGTTGTGTCCTCCTTTATGGACACAGAAGGGGGTTGGACAGAATACTCCTTCCAACACTATGATTCCAAGCAAAGGCTGGATGGCCATCTGTTGGGAGGGTTTGGGTTGTGTCCTCCTTTATGGACACAGAAGGGGGTTGGACTGAATACCCCTTCCCTTCCAACACTATGATTCCAAACAGAGGCTGGATGGCCATCTGTTGGGAAAGTTTGGGTTGTGTCCTCCTTCATGGACAAAGAAGGAGGTTGGACTGGATGCCTCTTCCAACACTACGATTCCAAGCAGAGGCTGGATGGCCATCTGTCAGGATGGCTTTTTATTGTTTCTTCCTGCTTGGCGGAAAAGGGTTAGACTGGATGGCCTCTCGAGATCCCTCTCTCTAGAGATTCCTTTCCTGGCTGAAGGGGAAAAGGAAAGGGCCTGAGGTTGTTAGGAATTGTGGGAGTTGAAGTCCAAAACACCTGTGGGCCGAAATCGGCTCGTGTCTGTTCTATAACTTGTCTCTCTTGCCTCTTTGTCATTCTTAACTGTGTTTTGGAAACTAATGTTTACAACTTCCACTTTCCCCTTCCTCAGTGCCCTTTGTGGACTGCCAAGGCGGTTTTCCGGCTTCATTTGTGGTGGACGATGCGGCTTTCCAGGTTTTGGCTGATGGAACGCTTCTGGCCCAGCATCACCTGCGCCTGCCTGAGTCGGGGAAGACCTTCTCGGTGCGCACCTGGGATGCTTCAGGGACCCAACACTCCACCTTGGTGACTGTGCGGCACGAAAGAGGGCCCTCCCAGGTAAATGCGGGCTTCCCACCTGGCCAGGAAGCGCCATAGCAACCCTTTACGTCGCCTTGGAGATTATGGCAGAGGTGTGTGTATGTTGGCACACCTGGACTGCAGACAAGTGGAAGGCACCTTTCCAAGGAAAGGGAGCGGGGCTTGCTTTGCTGCCAAAATAACTCAAGTAAGAATTTGCTAAGAACCCAACAACAAAGCCCCAGGCGTCTTGTAAGGATTGAACCTGCAAAACCGCCTCTGTGGACTTCCTCGGAAAACCTTATGAAATTTATGGGTTCACTATAGGCCACATCAACAGTTCTTAAACTGTGTTGGGTTGCTCCTGTTGTTGTTTTGATACATAACAAGATAGTAAACAGCAAACAAGATTACTATGCTGGCTGCTGCATATTATTATTTTTGCTGTTAATATTATTATTATTATTATTATTATTATTATTATTATTATTATTAGCTGTCCCCTGCCACGCATTGCTGTGGCCCACATGGGGGTTCTGTGTGGGAGGTTTGGCCCAATTCTATCATTGGTGGGGTTCAGAAGGCTCTGCGATTGTAGGTGAACTATAAATCCCAGCAACTACAACTCCCAAATGTCAGCATTCTATTTTCCCCAAACTCTCAAATGTCAAGGTCTATTTCCCCCAAACTCCATCTGTATTCATATTTAGGCATATAGAATATTCGTGGCGTTTGGTGCGGATTCATCATTGTTTGAGTCCACAGTGGTCTCTGGATGTAGGTGAACTACAACTCCAAAACTCAAGGTCTGTGCTGACCAAACACTTCTAGTGTTTTCTGTTGTTCATGGGAATTTTGTGTGCCACATTTGAATTAATTCCATCATTGGTGGGGTTCAGAATGCTCTTTGATTGTAGGTGAACTATAAATCCCAGCAACTACAACTTCCAAATGACAAAATCAATTTTTGAGTGATTCACATTTGGGCATATTGAATATTCTTGTAGAGTTTGGTCCAGATCCATCATTATTTGAGTCCACGGAGATCTCTGGATGTAGGTGAACTACAACTCCAAAACCAAAGGACACTGCCCACCCTTCCAGTATTTTCTGTTGGTTATGGGAGAACTGTGTGCCAAGTTTGGTTCAATTCCATCGTTGGTGGGGTTCAGAATGTTCTTTGATTGTAGGTGAACTATAAATCCCAGCAACAACAACTCCTAAATGACAAAATCATTTTTTTGAGTGAAAGACATACATTGGGTTGTTACGTGTCTTGTGTCCAAATTTGGTGTCAATTTGTCCAGTGGTTTTTGAGTTCTGTTAATAACATGAACGAACATTACATTTTTATTTATATAGATTATTATTATTATTATTATTATTATTATTAATAGTGGGCTTATTAATTAATGGCCCTCTTCATAAATGCACAGCAGAGTAACTTATTAGCAGAAGCATGACCCAGTACCAGTAGTCCAAAGTGATAAAAAGAACAAAAACACACAGACCAATGTTATCCCTTTTCTGGTATTTTTTTTACAGTGGAAATATTTATTTTTTTAATAGGGTGAAATATTATTGAAAAAAATCCCACCAGTTAGGCTTTACTAGGCTTCAATACAAAGTTTGATTCAAAACTTAAAAGAAAGTTTACTTGTTTTGGACTACAATGCCCAGAGTTTTGGGAATTATAATCATTCATATACATATACATACATACATACATACATACATACATATATATATATATATATATATATATATATATATATATATATATATACACACACACACACACACACACACACACACACACACATATACATACACACACACACACTTATTTTCACTGTGGTATATAGAAAAAAATGCTAGTTAAAATAGGAAAAAATAAGTTGGATCATGTCATAACCTTGGACTCTGCCTGTAATTGAAAATCCATAATATTATGATCTGGCCAAATATGATGCTTCCTTTGTTTATTAAAAAAACCCTTTGTGGTTTATATTTTTGCAACTTTATTTCTCTATTCAGGAAACAAAAACTTAGTAGCAGTTTACTGATCTTCCTTATGGATTGGATACATTTGCAATTTTGCCTACACTGAACCTCTTTGCAAATGCACATTTCAGGAACATTCACCTTTCTTTGTATTGCAACTGTTTTGTTGTTGTTGTTGTTTTGTTTTTTTGCACATGTTATACTGCTAAAGCTGAACAGGTCGGTGAAATGAGAGACTTGTTTTGAGAAGAAGCATTAGATAAGTTTCCATTTTCCTCCTATTTTCTACCCTCCCTTAACTGTTAACCTGGAAAATCCAGCTTTTCTGGAACTTTGCAAAAATAAAATCGAGACATGGTTGAAATACAGAAAGATCAATCTAGCTCACTCCTGGGCAAACTTGGGCCCTCCAGACATCTTGGACTTCAACTCCCAACATTCCTAACAGCCTCAGGCCCCCTTCCTTTTCCCCCTCAGCTGCTTAAAGTGTTCTGGACTTCCTACTGGCTGTTAGGAGTTGTGGGACTTGAAGTCCAAAATACCTGGAGGGCCGGTTTGCCCATTCCTGGTCTTCACTGTTGAATGAATGCCGATCAATATCACTTCAGCTTCTGGGGATCAATACTGTGAAACAATAGGAGTTGTAGTGGATGTTTCCCAATGGTCTCTCCTTTCTCTGTTTTTCTTTTTTCTTATGTGAAAAAAGGCTAAATTCTTGGGATTTTCTTGCAGGATGAAAAAGAAGAAGCGGGGAAGGTGCTTTCCTTTCCGTTGGGGAAACCTGGTCTGAAGCGGCAGAAGAGAGACTGGGTGATCCCCCCCATCAGGGTCCCTGAAAATGAACGGGGCCCCTTCCCCAAAAAGCTGGTTCAGGTATGTTGGCCCATAAGGGCTTCCAATTACTTTAATCCTTGTTTTTGTATGAAACCTTCCAGAATGAATATAGTTTGAGACCTCTTTACACTTACATATCCCAACATTGTCGAATCCTGGGAGTTTTAATTAAGGATGAATCCATGCTCGGGAATGAATGCACTTTGAGACCCCCATTAAGCTGCCATGTCCCAACGCTATAGACTTCTGGAAATTGTAGTTTTACTAAGGTGACTCCACATTGTGGAATGAATGCAGTTTGACCCCATTTTAATTGCATAGCTCAGTGCTATGGGATCCTAGGAATTGTAGTTTTACTAAAGGTGAATCCACATTGTGGAATTAATGCAGTTTGAGTCCATTTTAATTGCATACCTCAGTGCCATGGGAATCTGGGAGCTGTAGTTTTACTAAGGGTGACTCCACATTGTGGAATGAATGTGATTTGACCCCATTTTAATTGCATACCTCAGTGCCATTGGATCCTGGAAGTTGTAGTTTTATTAAGAGTGAATCCACATTGTGGAATGAATGCAGTTTGGCCCCATTTTAATTGCATACTTCAGTGCCATGGAATCCTGGGAGTTGTAGTTTTACTAAGGGTGAATCCATATTGTGGAATGATGTGGTTTGACTCCATTTTAATTGCATACCTCAGTGCTATGGAATCCTGGGAATTGTAGTTTTACTAAGGGTAAATCCACATTGTGGAATTCGGTTTGAACCCATTTTAATTGCATACCTCAGTGGCATAGGATCCTGGGAGTTGTAGTTTTATTTAAGGTTGAGCCTGCACTAGCTAACTCCACTTTCGCTGCCATATTTCAATGGTGTGGAATCCTGGGAGTTGTAGTTTTTCTAAGGACGCATTTAGGCTGCAGAATGAACGCACTTTAAGTCCATTTCAATTGCATAGCTCACTGCCATAGGATCCTGGGAGCTGTTTCCTAACCACACTGTAGAATGAAGGCAATTTAACCCCACTTTCACTGCCATATTTCATTGTTATGGGCTCCTGGGAGTGGTAGTTTTGCAAGGTTTTATATCTTCTCTGGTCAAGAATCCTTCACCAAAGTACAGCTCCCAAATTTTCCTAGCTTTGAGCCATGGCAGTTCAAGTGGCATCAAACCACATTCATTCTGCGGTGTAGATTCACCTCTAGTTTGTGTACATTGAACCACCAGAAAGGTGTCACTTGTCTCAGCCATTTGTGTGCAGCATTTCATATTCTGGAATCCTTGGTAATTCTTGTAGTGAAAGGTTTTCCATTCCTTGGTTGAGTCATTAGTTTTAAATTGAGAAAAAAACAGAATTAAAGAGAGATTTGGAGGGGAAGCCATTAATGGACTGGATTTCCAAGTTCTAAATGTATTAAATTCCAGATTCATCCAAACCACGATATTTCCGATTTCAGTGCAATGATGGAGAGTGAAGAAAGCAGATCAATTAATTTGAGACGGAGAGTTCTGCAGAGACCCAATAAAGGGCTATTAGCGCAGAGCAGCCCTGACATCTCCTTAGAAGCCCTAATGGCTGGACCGAAGATGCCGTGACTCATTGGAAAAGACAATAAAGGGGGAAAATAATGACTAAACAAGGAAACCACATTGCAGATGGATTAACTCTCCACTGCTCTTGTTTCTCTTCTGCAGATCAAGTCCAACCGGGACAAAGACACCAAGATCTTCTACAGCATCACAGGTCAAGGGGCCGATACCCCTCCCGAGGGGGTTTTCACCATTGAGAAGGAAACCGGGTGGATGAAGGTCACTCAACCACTGGACAGGGAGCACATCGACAAATACCATGTATGTCAGGAGTATTGGGCGAGTGGGCTTCTTAACAAAAGAACCTCCTCATATAAATGTACAGAGTAACTTATCAGCAGCAGCGTGACCCAGCACCAGTAGCCAAAAGTGATAAAAACAATGAAAACACACAATGTTATCTTTTCCTTAGGAGGCTTTTCTTTGTAGCAAAATAATATGGTTACACTATTTACAAGAACAAGGTTTCCATAACACAAACTGCTTTATACTTCCTTCTTTGCTTCCATGCTGGGCTTCTTTCTCATGCAGATAAAAAACTTTGCTCTCATATAGCCTCTTCTCACACTAAAATTACACAGGAGTTTTACACAGTAGCCTTCTGCACACAGCAGCCTTCAAACTGGACCTTTACACACAAGGGATTCAACCTGGGGCTTCTCTCACCAATGCCTTCTCACATCAGGCCTCTCACGCACTGAGGCCTACTAACAATGAGGCCTTTCTCCCACTGAGGGCTGTCTCAGACTGACACCTCTCTCACACACTGAGGTGAACCAACACTGAGGCTTTCTCATACTGAGGCCTACTAACACACTGAGTTCTTTAGACTTCTTTCTTTGCTTCCATGCTGAGCTTCTTTCTCATGCAGATAAAAAACTTCACTCTCACATAGCTTCTTCTCACTCTAAACTTACACAGAAGCTTCACACAGTATCCTTCTACACACAGCAGCCTTTGCTTCCACACAAGGCCTTCAACCTGGGGCTTCTCTCACCAAGGCCTTCTAACATCAGGCCTCTCACACACTGAGGTCTACTAACACTGAGGCATTCCCACACTGAGGCAAACTAACACTGGAGCCTTCTCATACTGAGGCTTTCTCATTCTGAGGTTTCTCTCATACTGAGGGCAACTAACACTGAAGCGCACTAAGCCACAGGCACACCTGTTTATATAGAACTACAGCTTTTACTAAGTCATTGCATCAATTTAACCCTTTCAGTGCTTTTTGTAATTAAAAAGACCTAGTTAATTTTTAATATTTCTGACAAGGAGGTCCCAAGCATCGGCCCCAGGGGGAAGACTATGATCTTATAAACAAGGTTGAATGGCCATCTGTCAAGAGGGCTGGAATAGATTACCTTTAAAGGTCCCTTCCAAATCTAGAAGAGGATTATTATTATTAAGCAGAGGCTGGATGGCCATCTGTCAGGAGGGATCAGGTTGTGGCCTTTCTGCCTGGCAGAAGGGGGTTGGACTGGATGGCCTTTTGCAGTCTCTCCCAAATCTAGAAGGCTATGATTCTATAAACTGGCTGGATGGCCATCTGTCAGGAGGGATTGAATTGTGGCCTTTTTACTTGACAGAAGGGGATTGTACTGTATGGCATTTGGAGGTTCCTTCCAATTCTAGGATTCTATGAATACATATCCACAACCCCCCATCACCCTGGTTTCTTCTCATATAGACAAACTCAGTTTGTGATTTGAGGGTTTCTTCTTAAGGTTGTGGGACAGGAAGTCCCTTTCTCATCCAGGATCTCCCCTTGTTGCCTCCTTCCAGCTCTTTTCACACGCCGTGTCCGAAAACGGCAAGTCAGTGGAGGAGCCCATGGAAATCATTGTGACAGTCACCGACCAGAACGACAACAAGCCCCAGTTCACCCAGGAGGTCTTCCGGGGGTCCGTCCTGGAGGGAGCCACTCCTGGTAAAGAGCATTAAGGGGAATGAAAGGGGAACCACTTGGGGAAGAAGAGTCTCCCCATCCAGGTCCTGTGCAAAATCCTGTGGCATTTTGTTGCGATCTGACCTCACCTCAAATGCAAAAAAATGAGTCTTGTTCTAAATCATCAAGGGAAAAAGAGACAGACATCCCCATTCCTGAAATACCGCACTTCCACTTTGTAAAATGTATTAATCCTATTAGCGTTCCCATTTTTGGCAACAGGTATGACTTTCCAGAGCCAAGCTCAGTGGGTGAATATATGCCAACTTTCCATCCATTGCTTCAGAGGGAAAGTGGAGGAGGGTCAAGGCAGAACTAAGAAAAGTTACTTTTTTGTGGTTGGTACATTGATGGATTAGGCTTCATGGGTTCTAGAGGTCATTTTGTCCCCAAAATCCTATCACAATCCTAGCTGCATGGCAAAGGATCCAAGATCCAAATCAGCGAGTTGGGCTTGGTTGGCTGCTGAGTTGTTTATTAATGCCTAAACAAGGGGTCCTCAAACTAATCCTATCTAATCAGCCAAAAGTAGGCCCACATTTCCCATTGAAATACTAATAAGTTTATATTTGTTAACGTTGTTCCTCATTTTAATTATTGTATTATTTTAAAGTGTTTTTTGCACTACAAATAAGATATGTGCAGTGTGCATAGGGATTCATTCATGTTTTTTTCAAATTATAATCCAGCCCTCCAACAGTTTCAGGGACTGTGACCTGGCCCTCTGTTTAATAAGTTTGTGGACCCCTGGCCTAAACCATATGCTATTATACATTAATACAAATGTATATCTATCTATCGATATAATAAACTATCAAAATTAAGTAATTTATAAATTTTATAAAATGTACACAATTTATATATAATTATAAATTATGTATGTTGTGGATAATTTATATTATATATATATAATTATCTAACATACATAATTATAAATTATATAAAATATATAATTCTGTAATTATAATATATATATATATGCAACATGTCATAATTATAACTTATATAAAATATTTAATGTATGTAATTATAAAATATAAGTATATATATGCCACATATGTCATAATTATAAATTATATAAAATATATAATGCAGTCACGCCAGCCACATGACCTTGGAGGTGTCTATGGACAACGCCGGCTCTTCGGCTTAGAAATGGAGATAAGCACCACACCCCAGAGTCGGACATGACTGGACTTAATGTCAGGGGAAAACCTTTACCTTTACCTATATAATGTATGCAATTATAAAATATAAGTATATATATATACACACACACACACACATACACACACAAAATATGTGATAATTATAAATTATATAAAATATATAGTGTATGCAATTATAAAATACAAGTATTTATATATTAACAACATATGTCATAATTATAAATTATATAAGATATACAATGTACATAATTATAAGATATTTAGTATAATAAGTATATATATGTGTTATTATATCATCTTATAAGTATATATATATACTTATAAAATGTGTGTGTGTGTGTGTATATATATATGATATTCTATCTACATTTCTAGCTATCTGTATAGTAGATAAATTATATCTATTAATGCATATAATCCAAATGCAACAATACCAAGTACTATGTAGAAAATCTGCATGCAGATCAGGCCTATTACAATTCCATGCCATTAAAATACAAATAACATTTACAATAGATAAAATAGACAAAGAGCATCTGCTGCAATATGGGCAATACATTCACCTTGCTGGTGACCATACTATTAGTATAATGCAGGAGATAGTAAGTCTTTTCGGATGCATGATTGGGATATAGATGAGATCGAATAGATGCCCAGAGTGGTCCCGTATAGATAAACAAGCCCTTCCTTCTTCCTCTTCCTGGCCACAGGGACCTCCGTGATGCAGGTCACGGCCACGGATGCGGACGACGCCATTGAGAGCTACAACGGGGTCATTGCTTACTCCATCCTCAGCCAGGTCCCCGAAGAGCCCCACAGGCAGATGTTTGCCATCAATCGGGCCACTGGTGCCATCAGCGTCATCGCCAGCGGGCTGGACCGGGAGGTGAGTGCAGGGCTTGGCTGTATTTCCCATCATCCTCTAACATTGGGGGAGGGATCCTGGGAACTACAGTTGGTGAAACCCCACTTGGTGGATACCTGAACCCTGATGGTTTGTGGTTCTTGATTCCAGAGAGTAAGAGAATACATCCTGACCCTGCAAGCAGCTGATTTGGATGGCGACGGACTAACGAGCAGCGCTAAGGCCGTGATCGAGGTGGCGGACGTCAATGACAACGCGCCTGAGTTCAAACAGCAGGCGGTAAGGTCACTTTCCCCATTCTTTTGATAGGAAGTGGTCCCTAATTGGTGCTTTTGGGGACCTTGATGACCTTTCCCAAACAGAAACCTATAATTTTTCCATGCCTATAACATTATAGATAGTGGATCCTGGCTTTAGAGGTAATACCTGAGATGATTCCATTCCTTTCCACCTTTTTGTCCTTGGTTCCCTCCCTCTTTCCTTCCTCCTTCCTTCTCTTTTCTTTCCTTCCTTCTCTTTCCTCCCCCCTTCTTCCTCCCTTCCACCCTTTCATTCTTCCTTCTTTCTCTTTTTCCTTCCTCCTTCCCTCCCTCTTTTGCTTTCTTCCCCCTTTTCTTTTCCATTTTTCCTTCTCTTCCTTCCTTCCTTCCTTCCTTCCTTCCTTCCTTCCTTCCTTCCTTCCTTCCTTCACTTTTCCCTCACGCCTTCCCTCTCTCCCTCTTTCACCTTCCTTCCCTTTCCTTTCCTTCAGTTACTCTTCCCTCCCTCTTTCTCCCTTCCTTCCACCTTTTTGTCCTTCCTTCTTTTTACTTCCATCTTCCCTTCCCTTCCACCCTTTCATCCTCCCTTCTTTCTCTCCCTCCCTCCCTCTCTTCCCTCTTTTACCTTCCATTTTTCCTTCCCTTCCATCCTTCCTTCACCATTCCCTCACTCCTTCCCTCTCTCCCTCTTTCACCTTCCTTCCCTTTCCTTTCCTTCCTTCTCTCTTTCCTCCCTCTCTTACTTCCCTCTTTCTCCCTTCCTTCCACCCTTTCGTCCTTCCTTCCATTTTTCCTTCCCTTCCACCCTTTCATCCTTCCTTCACTCCTTTCCTCACTCCTTCCCTCTCCCTCTTTCACCTTCCTTCCCTTTTCTTTCTTTCCTTCTCTCTTTCCCCCCTCCCTCCCCTCCCTCGTTCTGCATTCCTCCTACCTTTTCATCCTTCCTTCTTTCTCTCTTTCCTTCTTTCCTCCATCCCTCCCGTTCTCTTTCTCCTTCCATCCTTCCCCCTTTCCTCCCTCCTTCCCTCTCTTCCTTGTTCCTTCCCTTTTCTTTCCTTCCTCCCCTCTTTCCTCCCTCCTTCTCTCTCTTTCCCCTTCCTTCCCTTTTCTTTCTTCTCTTTCCTCCCACTTTTCCCTCCTTCTTTCTCTCTTCCTTCCACCCTTTCATCCTTCTTTCTTTCTCTCTTTCCTTCTTCCTTCTCTCCCTCCCTTTCCTCCCTCTTTCTCCTTCCATCTTTCCTTCCCTTCCACCCTTTCTTCCCTCACTCTTTCCTTCCTTCCCTTTTGTCTTTCCTTCCTTCACCCTTCCCTCCCTTTCTTCTTTCCATTCCCTTTCTCCCTTGTTTTTTTCCTTCCTCCTTTCTTCCTGGGGGATGTTTAGCTGGAAGAAGATAAGTCCCCACAGGGAGATAGGGCGGATTATAAATAAAGTAGTATTATTATTATAGTAGAGAGGAAACATGAGAACCATGTTTCAAGATTTAAAATAGTGTCCCATTGAGGAGAAGGAGGAGGAGGGGGGAAACCGGCTTTCTGCTGCTCTAGAGACCAGGGCACAAGGGAGCAATGGTTTCAAATGGCAGGGAAAGAGATTCAACTGAAAAGATGAGGAAGCACTTCCTGGAGAGTGGCATAGGCAACCCCAGAGCGAGGTGGAGTCTCCTCCTCTGGAGGCTTCTATGTACAGGTTGTCTATCTATTTACACTGCAGAATGAAAGCGGTTTGGTACCAGTTTAATGCAATGCTATGGAATCCTGGGAGTTGTTGTTTCACAAAGACTTTAGCTCTCTTTGGATGCATCTACACTGCAGAATGAATGTGGTTTTACATCAATTTAACGCAATGCTGTGGAATCCTGGGAGTTGTAGTGTCACTGAGTGCCTCTACACTGCAGACGGATTGCCATTTTGGCAGCACTTGAACTTCCCTGGCTCAGTACTGTGGAATCTTGGGAGATGCAGTTTTGCAAGGTCCCTGGACACATTTACACTGAAGAATGAATGGCAAATCCATGAAATTTGCACTTATGCTGGCTTTTAACCAATTTCTACCAATTTGGTGGCTTTGAAAGCCACAATTGTTAGAAGCCACAGATTGTGAAAGCCACAATTTATTTCTCTTTCATCTCACCGAGCTTTTTAACCAGTTTTAATTAGTTCTTCTTTTAACCATTATATATGGCCCACCCATTGTCACTGTGTTTGTGTTTATTGTAATTTTATATTGTTGTATATTCATATGTTTTTTGTAATTATGATGTTGTTTATTGTTTGCGTTTTTGGTTTGCATTCAGTCGTTTTTTATTGTAATTGTTGTTCGGGCTTGGCCCCATGTAAGCCACTCCGAGTCCCCATCGGGGAGATGGTGGCGGGGTACAAATAAAGTTTATTATTATTATTATTATTATTATTATTATTATTATTATTATTAATTCCATTGCAGGAAAAGATGAATCGGATACAAAATTGGAACAAAAAATCATCATAAATGATTTTACAGTGAAGGCATGGACCAACTTCGGCCCTCCCTCCAGGTGTTTTGGACTTCAACTCCCACAATTCCTAACAGCCTGTCGGCTGTTAGGAATTGCGGGAGCTGAAGTCCAAAACACCTGGAGGGCCAAAGTTTGCCCAATGTAATATATATTCAGGTCAGTTAAGGTTGCAAGTAAAACCTGAAGCGGATTTACCTTTCAGTATTCGGTGGAGGTTCCTGAGAATGAAGTGGGGCTGGAGGTGGTGCGCCTGGAGGTCACCGACAAGGACGAACCGGGATCTTTAGCCTGGAGAGCCGCCTTTTCCATCACGCAAGGCAATGAACGGGGCTTCTTCCGCATCTCCACCGACCCAGAGACCAACGAAGGCATCCTGGCCACCGCCAAAGTAAGGGGCGTGCATTGGAAACTCCCAGAACCCTCTGATGCATGCTGGTATTTCGGAAAAGCCAAAAAAAAGCCATCTTCTGGATATTGCAAATTCCATAACTTATTAGAATTAACTGCATCATAAAAAGGTAAAAAAGATGTCACATCCGTTTGGCAAATGTGAATCTCCATGAATATGTGGAGACCACCTTTTGAAAACCACTAGTTGAGAAAAGCATGATCTTGTTAGAAGTCAACCCTTTGAACAAGTGATATTCATAAGCATTCATGTAATGGCACACAGGTAACTCGGCTGTTAAACTGAAGAACCATGTCTTTAGTCTGCCAAAGATAAAGACATGCCACTACCAAAGTATAATGGGTTAGCAGAGGATTGTAGTGTCTTTGAAGTTGAAGTTGCCCATCTACTCTCCCTTAAAAACCTCTTGTTTAAAACATGCATTCAAGAGACAAAACAAAATAGTCTTCTTTGAAAAATGACATCTCAGATTTAATAACAAACTTCTTGTATATATTCCATAGTCCATAGTCCTATGTCTTTAAACGTATATAGTCCAAACTGTATAACAGTCTCAGTCTGAGAGAAGGCCTCACAGTTTGAGGTAGGCTTTAGTCTGAGAGAGAAGCCTCTGTGTGAGGTAGACCTGAGAGAGGTCTCAGTGGGAGAGAGGCCTCAGAGTGTGAGGTAGGCCTTAGTCTATGACAAGGCCAAGTGTGAAAAGGCCTGGTGTGAGAAGCTTTGGTGAAAGAAGCTCCAGGGTTTAAGGGTTTGTATCTGTCCCATCTTATTTAAACTCTGGCTCCACCCCTTTGGCTCTGACCCCATTATCAGAAATATTAAAAATTAACTAGGTATTTTTAATTAGAAAAATATGAGTCAAGCACTGAAAGGGTTAAATGGGTGCAATGACTCAGCAAAAGCTGCAGTTCTATATAAGCAGATGTGCCTGTAGCTTAGTAGCAGTCAGTCTGAGGTAAACCTCAGTGGGAGAAAGGTCTCAGTCTGAGATAAGGCCTCACAGTTTGAGGTAGGCCTTCGTCTGTGAGACCAGCCTCTGTGTGAGGGAGGCCCGAGAGAGGTCTCAGTGGGATAAGCGTCTCAGAGTGTGAGGTAGGCCTTAGTCTGTGAGACCAGCCTCTGTGTGAGGGAGGCCCGAGAGAGGTCTCAGTGGGATAAGCGTCTCGGAGTGTGAGGTAAGTCTTAGTTTATGAGAACACCTGGTGTGAGAAGCTTCAGTGAAAGAAGCCCCAAGGTTTAAGGGTTTGTATCTGCCCCACCCTATTTAAGCTCTGGCTCCACCCCTTTTTGGCTCTGACTCCACCCTCAGAATTTGCCCTGCCCATTTTGTTTTTGATGGTCCCAAACCTGTGACCCCACCCCCTTTTGGCTCTGTCTCCACCCACTTTTGATAGCACCAATCCTTTTGACTCTGGCTCTGCCCCTTTTTTCTTTGTCTCCGCCTCTTTGCTGCTGGCCCCACCCACCGCTGGACCATAACCTTGGAGAGATGCCACTCAGATTGACTTTCCCACCGATGCCATTGGATTGTGTCGAATACCTTTTCTGTATCTTCCTCTCACGTTCAGGCCTTGGACTTTGAGGAGCAGAGACAGTTTGTGCTACAGGTGGAGGTCGCCAACGAGGCTCCCTTTGCTGTCCGGCTGCCCACCTCCACGGCTACCGTCACGGTCAACGTGCGGGATGTCAATGAGGCGCCGGCCTTCGCACCCCCGGTCCAAAGAGCTCAGGTCTCAGAGGACGTTCCTGTGGAGAGCCAAGTCACCATCTTCACAGCTCAGGACCCTGACCAAGAGCAGCAGCAGACCATCAGGTGAGATGTTTAGATTAATTTTTCCTTCCAAAAGATGTGTTCGGACTTTTTCTTTTTCATGTACCAAATGTGCACGTAATTCGCGCGATGTGCCTACACTCCGATTGGTCATTCGTCAGTCTCTCGAATTCCTGTGTTTACATACGCAAGGCGCCTGCTTGGGTGTTTGGAAATACTTCATTATAATTTGTATTATTTTTAGAATTAAAATAATAATAATAATCTTTGTTTATATTTAATTATATATTAATATTATTATTTTATCATTCAATATGGCCATTGTGTGTTTGCAACAGATAGATATACTACCAGTAAATGTGTCTTATCTGGTTGACGATCTTAACTGGGGCTTATTTTTGAGGTTCGTGATTGGACTAGATAGATCCTGGGGATTTATTTTAAATCCATGATTCTTTCCATAGACTGAAATGATGGAGTTGCTTCTCCTGCCCTATTACTACTACTACTACTACTATTGGGCCCATATCTCTTCAGGGTTAGACTAGATGACCCCTGGGGATCCCTTTTAAATCCATGATTCTTTCTATAGACTGAAATTATGCAGTTGCTTCTCCAGCCCTATTATTAATTAATTAATTAATTAATTGAGCCCATATCTTTTCATAGTTGGATTAGATCACCCCTGGGGGTCCCTTTTAAATTCTTTCTTTAGGCTGAAATGATGCAATTGCTTATCCAGCCCTATTGTTGTTATTGTTGTTACTATTATTATTGGGTCCGTATCACTTCAAGGTTGGACTAGATGACCCCTGGGGTTTCCTTTTAAATGCTTGATTCTTTCTGTAGATTCAAATGATGTAGCTGCTTCTCTAGCTCAATTATCTCTTCATGGTTGGACTAGATGGGCCCTGGAGATGCCTTTTAAATCCAGGATTCTTTCTATAGGCTGAAATGATGCAGTTGCTTCTCCAGCCCTATTATTACTATTATTATTGGGCCCATATCTCATCATGGTTGGACTAGATGAGCCCTGGGGATTTCTTTTAAATCTATGATTCTTTCTATAGGCTGAAATGATGCCCATTGCTTGTCCAGCCCTATTATTATTATTATTATTATTATTATTATTATTATTATTATTATTATTATTATTATTCTTGATTGACCCATATCTCTTCATGGTTGGGCTAGATGGCCCCCAAGGATACCTTTTGAATCCATTATTCTTTCTATAGGTTGAAATGCAGTTGCTTCTCCAGCCCTGTTGTTGTTATTATTGTTGTTGTTGTTGTTAGGCTCATATCTTTTCATGATTAGACTATGTGGGATTTCTTTTAAATCCATGATTCTTTTTATTAGTCTTTTTCTTAGCTGAAATGATGCCGCCATAATATTATTATTATTATTATTATTATTATTATTATGGTATTATTGGATGCATATCTCTTCAAGGTTGGATTAGATGACCCCTGGGGTTTCCTTTTAAATCCGATTCTTTTTATTATTCTTTTTCTTAGCTGAAATTATGCCGCCATATTATTATTATTAGTAGTAGTAGTAGTAGTAGTAGTATTATTAAGGTATTATTGGATGCATATTTCTTCATGGTTGGACTAGATGACCCCTGGGGTTTCCTTTTAAATCCATGATTCTTTTAATAGACTGAAATGATGCAGTTGCTTCTCCAGGAATAATAATAATAATAATAATAATAATAATAATTATTATTATTATTATTATTATTATTATTATTATTGGGTCTGTATCTCTTCTTGGTTGGACTAGATGGGCTCTAGGTTGGACTAGATGGGCTCTTGGTTGGACTAGATGGGCCCTTTTAAATCCAGGATTCTTTCTATAGACTGAAATGATGGAGTTGCTTCTCCAGCCCTGTTGTTGTTGTTGTTGTTGCTGTTGTTACTATTATTATTGGGCCCATATGTCTTCTTGGTTGAACTAGATGACCCCTGTGATTTCCTTTTAAATCCTTGATTCTTTCTACCAACTCAATGATGCAGTTGATTATCCACCCCTATATTATTATTATTATTATTATTATTATTATTATTTCTATTATTATTGGGCCCATATCTCTTCATGGTTGAACAAGATGTCCCTTAGCGTCCCTTTTAAATAAATGGTTTTTCTATAGGCTGAAATGATGCAGTTGCTTCTCCAGCTCCATTATTATTACTATTTATTTATTTATGGACCCATATGTCTTCACGGTTGGGCTAGATGACCTCTGAGGTTTTCTTTTAAATCCTGGATTCTTTGTATCAGCTGAAATGATGCTTCTCTAGCTGTGTTGTTATTATTATTGTTATTATGCTTCTCTAGCTGTGTTGTTGTTGTTATTATTATTATTATTGGATGTATAATAGTTCTTCGTGGTTGGATCCATGATTCACTCTATAGGCTGAAATGATGTAATTGCTTCTCTATCCCAATAATAATAATATTACTAATATTTTTTTACCCTCTTCTCCTCGTGGTTCCAGGCGGGGTACAACATAGTTAAATACCATACAAAGGGAGCTTGTGAGACACCCATGTCTGGGATTTTTATCTTTTATATCTCTCTCTGGACCCCAGGTACTCCATTGGGAATGACCCAGCTGCTTGGCTGGCCATTGACCCCGAAAGCGGCGCCATCAAGACCCGAAATAAGCTGGACCGGGAATCTCCTCTGGTCCAGAACAGCACCTACAGAGCCATTGTGCTGGCCGTGGACAATGGTAAATATGGGAAGGGGAAGAAAGACTGGGAACGGGAGCTGAAGGGAAGGACGCTCTGACGAAAGGGAAATCAATGGCCCCTTTGTCTTGGCATCAGGCGCTTTGCCCATGTGAGGGGCTCATGGCAGCGGCCCCATAAGATCCCCATTGAAAGAATGTCACGAGGAACCGCATCTCTATCTGGTCAGAAGGGAAGAGAATTGGTCCATCTCTAGCCTTTTCCAAGTCTAAAGCAGCCCTCTACTGGATGCATCCTGTTCTTTTGGGGCAGGGACAGGACTATAAGACCCATAATCCTACACCGGTCCATGGGACTTGAGCATTCATGGATGTTGATATTCACGTTTGGGTCCTGGAGCTAAACGTAGTGTATACAAAAGTAAGACTAACATAATGTAATGCTGTATTGTGATTTAATAGTTTGAGTCGTACGTTTTGATTTATTTGGATTCCACCCAAAATTGCTTGTTGTGTCAAACTGTGTGACAATAATGAAATACCCCCTCCTTATTATATTAATCATGTTCATATTGATATTGCTTTATTAAATGAGCAGTGCAAAAAAAGGGATTGTGCCTAAGACTCACAGATATATGCTGTTATAATAATCATAATAAATAATATTGTATTTATTACCTGCCTTCCCTAATAGCTCAAGGTGGGGTAGAACAGAGTCAATGCTGTAATAATAATAATAATAATAATAATAATAATAATAATAATAATAATAAATTAATAATAATAATAATTTATTACCTCCTCAAGGTGGGGTACAACAAAGTCAATGCAATAATAATAATAATAATAATAATAAATTAATAATAATAATAATAATTTATTACCTCCTCAAGGTGGGGTACAACAAAGTCAATGCAATAATAATAATAATAATAATAATAATAATAATAATAATAATAATTTATTACCTCCTCAAGGTGGGGTACAACAAAGTCAGTGCAGTAATAATAATTACAATTATAATAATAAATTTTATTTATTTCCTGCCTCCCCGATAGCTCAAGGTGGGGTACGACAAAGTCAATGCTGCAATACTACTACTACTACTACTACTAATAATAATAATAATAATAATAATATATTTTATTTATTACCTGCCTCTCCTGATAGCTCTAGGTGCGGCACAACAAAGTCAATTCTGTAATAATAATAATATTTATAATTATTATTATTTCTTTATTACCTGCCTCTGAAAGCTCTAGGTGCGGCACAATAAAGTCAATGCAATAATAATAATAATAATAATAATAGTAATAATAATCGTTTACTTATTACCCACCTCGCCTGATAGCTCAAGGTGGGGTACAACAAAGTCAGTGCTACAACAACAACAACAACAAAATATTTTCCTTATTACCTGCCTCTACTGATAGCTCAAGGTGAGGTACAACAAAGTCAATGCTGTAATAATAATAATAATAATAATAATAATAATAATAATAATAATAATGTGCAGCACAACAAAGTCAACGCTGCAATAATAAAAATAACAATATATTTAATTTACTGTCTGCCTCTCCTGATGGTTCAAGGTGGAGTACAACAAAGTCAATGCTATAATAATAATAATAATAATAATAATAATAATAATAATAATAATTATTATTATTATTATTATTTATTACCCATCTTACCTAATGGCTCGAGGCGGAGTAAAACATAGTCAAAAACATATGAATATGAAATACATACAATAAATTACATAGATAAAAGCACAACTTTCATCAAAATCCGCATTATTATCATATTATTTTACTTTATTTTGTTTTTCAAACTGCACAATCCACTCAAAATTGCTTGCAAACTGTGCTCCAATAATGAAAAATTATCATTATTCCCTTTTTTAAAAAATTGAGCAGCTCAAAAACAAAGGGAAGCGCCAAAGACTAAGAGAAATATAATAAATATACTGTTCTAACATTATTTTATAAACAGTACAAATGGAGAAATGAGAGCATGTGGCCACTCTTCACCTGTTTATGCTTAATGTATTCTGGGGATTTCTGGAAGGGAAGCAAATGCCAAATGTGTCAAGGAAACGATGCTGACTTTCAGCCCACGCCTTTTTGGCTTTCCTTTCTGATTCCTAAAGAGCTCAGAAAACACCAAAACACGAAGGATCTTAAGGAAGCTGACACCGGGGTCCTCAATTTGGCATTAATTTGCATAGTTTGGGCCTCATTAACCTACTTTCCGTTTTCTCAAAGCACACAGCTTGAAACAGCGGAAAACCAAGAGTGTGGGATGCAATCCCATTGTATAATAATATTATTATTAGTCTTTGTTTGTTTTTATAAATGGGACCCAAAGTGGCCCACAGCCTTAAAAACAATACAATTTAAAACTTACATCATGCAAATAATAAAATATAATTAAACCTTTTATTTAGACTTACCTCTGCTGCCATGAAGACTGGAAACTTTCCAGTCTCTTTAAAAGGTCGTAGTTTGCAAGAGAGGGAGATGGAAGGTGCACATGGGGCTACTAGAGGTCATCCAGACTGGACGTTGCAGCTTTGGCTAGTGCGCATGGCTTGAGGATGGTTGCCATGAGGACTAGAAATTTCCCAGTCTCTTTAGAAGGATCTGAGAAGAGAGAGGGGAGATGGAAATGGGCTCCTAGAGGTCATCCAAACTGCCTGGTAAAAAGTAGGGGTCTTCTTGGGGTTAAAGTGGGTGCAAGAGGGGAAAAGAAGGTGCAAATAGGCTCCTAGAGGTCATCCAAACTGGTTGGTAAAAGGTAGGGGCCTTCTTGGGGTTAAAGTGGGTGCAAGAGGGGAAAAGAAGGTGCAAATAGGCTCCTAAAGGTCATCCTAACTGGTTGGTAAAAGGTAAGGGTCTTATTGGGGTTAAAGTGGGTGCAAGAGGGGAAAAGAAGGTGCAAATGGGCTCCTAAGGGTCATCCAGATTGGTTGGTGAAAAGTAGGGGTCTTATTGGGGTTAAAATGGAAAATAAATGGGTTCCTAGAGGTCATCCAAACTGGCTAATGCAAGTGGGTGTCTTATTGGGATTAAAGTGGGTGCAAGGGGGGGACACAGAAGTGCAAATAGTCTCCTAGAGGTCATTCAGATTGGCTGGTGAAAAGTGGGGATTGTTGAGCGAGTGGGCTTATTAACAAAAGACCCTCACCATAAATGTACAGGCAGAGTAACTTACGAGCAGCAGCGTGACCCAGCACTAGTAGCCCAAAGTGATGAAAAGAACAAAAAAACACAGCTCAATTTAAAACCAGTCTGGTGGAAGCAAAAGCTATACAGGGTTAGTCAAAATGAATAGGCCAATAAGAAAATTAATTTTAGACGAATGTATGTTTACTGTAACCAAACCACAGCTACGTAGCGACAGATAAACTATCAAAGTTTTTTTTTGAGCAACACACATGTACGTTAATGCCGCTAGGCGTCGCTAGGGGTCGCTGTTTTCAAAATGGCGGATTCAAGCAAAGAGAAGGCGTTTTGTGTGATGACATTTGCTAAAACAATGTCAGTAATTACGGTCCAGCGAGAATTTCGAGCCAAGTATGGATAGGGTTAGGGTTAGGGTTAGGGTTAGGACCTCAACGAACACCTTCCCAGACGTTGCTGCATTCGATGCCATTACGTCGGATGTGCTGCAACGGATGTGGAATGAACTGGACTATCGCTTGGACATCTGCCGTGTCACACGGGGCGCCCATATCGAACATCTCTGAAGGTGAGACAAAACTTTGATAGTTTATCTGTCGCTACGTAGCTGTAGTTTGGTTACAATAAACATACATTCGTCTAAAATTAATTTTCTTATTGGCCTATTCATTTTGACTAACCCTGTAATATGGTTACACTATTTACAATAAGAACTTTTCCATAACACAAATAAAGTTCTTCATACTTCCTTCTTTGCTTCCATGCTGGGCTTCTTTCTCATGCAGATAAACAGCTTCGCTCTCACAGAGCTTCCTCTCGCAGCAAACTTTCACAGGAGTTTCACACAGTAGAATCAAAGAGTTGGAAGAGACCTCATGGGCCATCCAGTCCAACCCCCTGCCAAGAAGCAGGAATATTGCATTCAAATCACCCCTGACAGATAGTCACCCAACCTCTGTTTCAAAGCCTCCAAGTAAGGAGCCTCCACCACACCCCAAGGCAGAGAGTTCCTCTGCTGAACAGCTCTCTCAGTTAGGAAGTTCTCCCTCATGTTCAAATAGAATCTCCTTTCTTGTAGTTTGAAGCCATTGTTCCGTGTCCTAGTCTCCAAGGCAGCAGAAAACAAGTTTGTTCCCTCTTCCCTGTGGCTTCCTCTCACATATTTATACATGGCTATCATATCTCCTCTCAGCCTTCTCTTCTTCAGGCTAAACATGCCCAGCTCCTTAAGCCGCTCTTCATAGGGCTTGTTCTCCAGACCCTTGATCATTTTAGTCGCCCTCCTCTGGACACATTCCAGCTTGTCAATATCTCTCTTCAATTGTGGTGCCCAGAATTGGACACAATATTCCAGTAGCGTTATACACATCTTAACACACGAGGCCTTCAACCTGGGGCTTCTCTCACCAAAGCTTCTCACAGTCAGCCTTCTCACAGACTAAGGCCTTTTCACAGACTGAGACTTTTCTCCTACTGAGGCAAACTAACCCAGAGGCCTACTAAGCTACAGGCACACCTGCTTATATTGAACTGCAGCTTTTGCTGAGTCATTGCATGCATTTAACCCTTTCAGTGTTTGACTCACATCATTGTAATTAAAAATACCTAGTTAATTAATAATACTTCTGACAGGGGTCTTATCGGTGCTAAGATGGGAAACAAATGAGTTCCTAGAGGTCATCCAAACTGTCTAGTCTAATGGAGTGTCCTATTGGGATTAAAGTGGGTGTAAAGCGGAGATAACGAGGGTGCAAATGGGATCCTAAAGGTCATCCAGACTGGATACTGCCGCCTCGACCAGTATTGTGCCTTTTATTCAATCTTGTGGGCTTGAACGTCCCAAGATCTTTGTGCAATGGTACATGGAGATGCACGGCCAAGAACCCCTGTCTTTGGGACAATTCCTTTCTAAAGTGGTGCCCACCCTCCTTTCTCTGGCCCCACAGGGACCCCTCCAGCCACAGGGACCGGCACCTTGATCCTGACCTTGCTGGACGTCAACGACAATGGCCCAGTGCCCGACCAGCGGGAACTGACTGTCTGCAACCATCGTCCGGAGCCCCAGCAGCTGCACATTTTGGACAAGGACCTGCCACCCAACACCTCTCCCTTCCGCGCTGAGCTTGTCCACGGTTCGGAGCAAAACTGGGATGTGGAGATGGATGCCAAAGGTGGGCCAGAATGGGGCCATGAGGTCAAACACAGTGGACTTAATGCACTTTCAGATTTTTAAAATTTCTGTCATGGCTCAATACTATGCAATCTTGGGAGTTATAGTTTGGTCCTCTTCGGCAGGGAAGGCTGAAGGCTTGGTAAAACTACAACTCCCAGGATTCCATAGCATGGTAAGTGGCGCCAAACAACATTCATTTTACTGTGTAGATGTGCCCTTAGGAAAACTGCAATTCCCAGGATCCCATAGCATTGGACTATGGCAGCCAAAATGGCTCCAAAGCACATTCATTCTATTGTGTAGATGTTCCGTTAGTGAAACTACAACTCCCAGGATCCCATAGTATTGAACCATGGTAGATAAAGTGGTGTCAAGCCACATTCATTCTACTATGTTGATGTGCCCTTAGTGGAACTACACCTCCCAGGATCCCATAGTACTGAACAATGGTAGATAATGTGGTGTCAAATCACATTCATTCTACTATGTTGATATGCCCTTAGTGGAACTACGACTCCCAGGATCCCATAGTACTGAACCATGGTAGATAACGTGGTGTCAAACCACATTCATTCTACTATGTTAATATGCCCTTAGTGGAACTACAACTCCCAGGATCCCATAGTACTGAACCATGGTAGATAACGTGGTGTCAAATCACATTCATTCTACTATGTTGATATGCCCTTAGTGGAACTACGACTCCCAGGATCCCATAGTACTGAACCATGGTAGATAACGTGGTGTCAAACCACATTCATTCTACTATGCTGATGTGCCCTTAGTGGAACTACACCTCTCAGGATCTCATAGCACTGAACCATGGTAGATAAAGTGCTATCAAACCACATTCATTCTATTGTTTAGATTCGCCCTTAGTGAAACTACGAGTCTCAGGATCCAAAAGCATTGAACCATGGCAGTCAAAATGGTGCCAAACTGCATTCCTTTTACTGTGTAGATGTGGCCTTAGTGAAAGTATGACTCCCAGGATGCCGTAACATTGGGCCATAGCAGCTGAAACAATGTCAGAGAGCATTAATTGTGCAACATAGTTTTCAAGTAGTAGCCTTTTGGTGCCTTTTGCTTTGTTAGGTGTGTTTGAATCTGCTCTGGGTTCTAGTCCAAACTATGCTGTACAGTTAAAAGAGGCAGATAACAAATACAATTTGATGATGATGATGGTTAAAGAGCTGTCTGTTTAAGATTACTTTGGGGAAAGGCTTTTGTGCCTTGTGTAGCTCCTCTAAAGTTCGGACTGCAACCCGGAACAGATTTAGCTCTTCCAGTGTGACAGGACTCCGTTGTCCTTCCCTAAAGTATTGCAGGGGAGGAGGTCTCCAGGTATGCCCACCTTTCCTTGCATTGACAACACACCTGTCCATCCTTTGCTAGGTGAGGTGGCCACCTTGAAGCTGCTGGACCCCCTCAAGCAGGGCACCTATGATGTCCATCTGAAGCTCTTCGACAGTCAGGACCTGCACCAAGTGACCGTCCTCAAGGTCACAGTCTGCGAGTGTGAGGGTCCTATTGATCGGTGTCCTGAGAAGCAGCTGGCTGGCGTTGGGGGTGCGGTCATCTTGGTCATCCTTGGGTCTGTTTTGGCCCTGCTGAGTAAGTGGACAAAACCCTCCCTGTCCTTTGTTTGAGGCCGAGAGAGTGTGACCTACACAAGATCACCCAATTGGCTTCTATGAGTGAACAGCAGAGGTTCGAACCCAGGTCTCCAGAGTTTCAGTCCGATGCTCCAACCCATATCCTTATTGGAAAAAGTCCCAAACATTGCACCCATATCTCTTCAGGGTTGGACTGGAATCCCCTGGGGGTCCCTTTTGAATCATTTTTTTTCTATAGGCTGAAAATTTTGTTCTGTGTATTTTAATATATGTATTTTTGTAGAAACATTTAATATGTTCATTTTGTATAATGTTTATGATGTTTTTAACTACCGTATATACTCAAATATAAGCCAACCCAAATGTAAGCCACCTAATTTTATCACAAAACAATGTATTGACTTGAGTATAAGCCAAGGGTGGGAAATGCAACGACTACTGGTCAATTTCGAAATAAAAAATAGATACCAATAAAATTACATTAATTGAGGCATCAGGAGGTTAAATGTTTTTGAATATTTCCAATAAAACTGTAATTTAAGATAAGACTGTCCAACTCTGCTCAAACCATTATTCTAACCACCTTCAATGTAAATGTGCTTCCAATAATAATAAAGAGTAAAATAATAAATGTGATAATGATAATAATAATAGAGTAAAAGAATGGAGATGTAATAATAACAGTAATAATAGAGTAAAAGAATAAATGTAATAATAATGATAGAGTAAAATAATGTAACAATAATAAAGTAAAATAATACATGTACAAATAATAGAATAAAGTAATGTAAATGGAATAATAACAATACTAATAGGGTAAAACAACAATGTAATAATTGAAATAGAGTAAAATAATAAATGCAATAATAACAATGAGGTAAAATAATAAATGTAATAACAATAATAATAATAACAACAACAACAGGGTAAAATAATAAATAACTTTGACTTGAGTACAAGCTGAGGGGGGCTTTTCCGGCCTAAAAATAGGGCTTTAAACTCTGTTTATACTTGAGTATATACAGCATGTTATAACCTACCTTGAGCCATGAGGATAAATGGGCAAGAATTAAAATAATAATAATAATAATAATAATAATAATAATTATTATTATTATTATTATTATTATTATTATTATTATTATTATTTAACTATAACACTAGGCATCACAAATTGAAAAAGCATTATTTCCTGTTTAATTGTGCGGTACTTACTTTGAAAGCAGTTGTTCTATTCCAGAAACTTCATTTTTGTGACACAAACCGTATTGAGTTGGTTGAGACTCGATGGTGAGATATGAAAAAACCAGAGCAAAATGTGCTGCAGGGTGTCTTTCCCTCTCGCAAAAACGAAGTTTTGACAGTTTCATCAACTTTTCCCATGTTTTTATGATGGAGCCAGTTAGGAAATGACATTTATAACCCAGCAACGAAATTTGTGTGACAGTGTGATTGATATTATTATTATTATTATTATTATTATTATTATTATTATTATTATTATTATTATTAATTCTCAAGTTCAGTCTAGGGAGATAATTATATACTCACAATAATGATAATTTTAGTACTACTACTCCAGTTCAGGGCTCCCTGGTGCCGCAGCAGGTTAAACCACTGAGCTGCTGAACTTGCTGACCGAAAAGTTGGCAGTTCAAATCCGGGGAGCAAGGTTAGCTCCCACTGTTAGGCCCAGCTTCTGCCAACCTAGCAATTCAAAAACATGAAATTGGAATTGATCAATAGGTAGCGCTTCTGCAAGAAGGTAATGGCACTCCATGCAGTCATGTTGTCCACACGACCTTGGAGGCGTCTACGGATAACGCTGGCTCTTTAGCTTAAAAATGGAGATGAATACCATTCCCCAGAGTCGGACATGACCAGACTTAATGTCAGGGAAAACCTTTAAATTTACCTTACTACTCCAGTTCAGTCTGGGGAATTGTAGTTTCCAAGGCAAGTCCTTTGGAAACTACAATTCCCCAGGTATTTTAAGAGAAAGGTTGAATTTGACTATGGGTTGTAGTTTGGAGGGAGGAATGATGCACGAATGTTCTCTATCAAGGAAATCCTAAATATCAAAACAACAAACCCCCAAATTCCACATGTCAATTGAAAGTGGTACAAAACTGGTATAACCCTGCAGTGCGGACGCCCTCATCGATGTGTTGCAATTGGCTTGCTAACTTGTGTTTTTGGGCCCTTCCAGTCTTGCTGCTCGTGCTCTTCCTGTTTATGCGGCGCAAGAAAGCGGTCAAGGAGCCCCTTTTGCTGCCAGAAGAAGACACTCGGGACAATATCTTCTATTACGGCGAAGAGGGAGGCGGAGAGGAAGATCAGGTGGGTCTCGCTTTGGGGTTTTCCTGGCCGGGCTTCCTCTGAGGCTGAAAGAATGTGAATTTCTCCCAAAAGGCTGGCAGATTCAAACCCAAGTCCTTCTGGTGGAGCGATTCTGCAAGTCTTCCCAGCGTCATCTCATCAGCATCTCTCTCTTCTTTCCTCCGCTTGTTTCTCCCAAAGGACTATGACCTCAGCCAGTTGCACAGAGGCCTGGATGCTCGTCCAGAGGTCGTTATACGGAACGATGTGGCACCCACTTTGCTGCCCGCCCCACAGTACCGCCCACGCCCGGCGAACCCAGATGAGATTGGCAACTTCATCCACGAGGTGAATGGGGAACGATAGAGCAAGAAACACAAGAGGGAAAGGTCCCCCATATTCTTTGTGAATTGATGTCTCTAGTCATGGAATCCTATAATTAGTAGCAGGGACCTCAGAAGGTCATCCAGACCAACCCTCTGCCATCTAAGTTGCTCAAAACCAGGCTCTGCAATAGAGGAGAGCTGTAGAATTTGGATACTTTTCCTGATGGTGAAAATCTAGCTTTTCGTGGCTATTGAAGCAATGGATTAAAACTATGGGAAAAGAGAAGGGGGTTGGACTGAATGATCTTTGGGACCCCTTGTGACTTTGTGATTCTACTATCAGCTCAACCTGACCCAACAAATATAATGCAGCAGCTTGAGAAGCCAATGCGGTTGTGCCGTCCTTTGAGGCAGAAGGGGGTTGGACTGGATAGTCTTTGGGACCCCTTGTGAGTTTGTGATTCCTGCTATAGCTCAACCTGACCCAACAAGTATGATGCAGCAGCTTCAAAAGCCAATGCGGTTGTGTCTTCCTTTGTGGCAGAAGGGGGTTGGACTGGATGGTCTTTGGGGATCCCTTGTGCTAACCCTGAGCCAACAAGTACTATGCAGTAGCTAAAAAAGTCAATGTGGTTCTACTAAAACAGACATAGGCTAACTTGTGCCGCCTTGCAGATGTTTTGGACTTCAACTCCCGCCATTCCTAACGGCCTCAGGACCTTTCCTTTTCCCCCTCAGATGCTTCGGGTGGAAATACTACCCAGGGTCTTCTCTGACCACAATCTGATGATGCTAAAATTAAAGGGGGGACATTGGGAAAGGAGACTATGGAAAATAAATGACTCATGCCAGGCTTTACACCAGGCATGGGCCAACTTGGGCCTCCCTCCAGGTGTTTTGGACTTCAACTGTCACTATTCCTAACAGCCTCAGGCCCCTTTCTTTTCCCCCTTAGCCACTTAAGCAGCCTTCACACGTGAGTTTCCTCTTACCGAAGCTTCTCGCACTGAGGCCTTCTCATACTGAGGCCTGCCTCACACTGAGGCCTTCTTATACTGAGGGCTTTCAGACTGAGGCCCTTCTCCCACTGAGGAGAATTAACACTGAGGTCTACCTCATACTGAGGCTTACTAACACACCGAGGCCCTTCCTCCACAGAGACCTCTCACGGACAGAGGCCTACTAAGCTACAGGCACACCTGTTTATATTGAATGGAAGCTTTTGAATTCTATAAATTGAATGGAGTCATTGCATCCATTTAACCCTTTAAGTGCTTGACACATTTTTGTAATTAAAATACCTAGTTAATATTTAATTTTTCTGACAAACACGCCTGATTAAAATTTAAAATAACACATACACACACTTACTTACTTAGGCGATCCCTCGTTGGCTGAGTAGGATAATCCTCCAGGGTGGGTCCGTAGGTGACTGTGGAGCCCTATTCTTGATCTGCATCTTCTCCCGCAGTGAAGGCATTGGTTTCCAGGTGGAAGGCGGTCTCGGTTGGGGTTGGCTTGACGTGCCTTCCTCTTGGCACATTTCTCTCTTTCACCCTCCATTCGTGCCTCTTCAAATTCTGCAGCACTGCTGGTCACAGCTGACCTCCAGTTAGAGCGCTCAAGGGCCAGGGCTTCCCAGTTCTCTTTTAGTGTCTATGCCAGAGTTTTTAAGCTTGGCTTTAAGCCCATCTTTAAATCTCTTTTCCTGTCCTCCAACATTCTGTTTTCCATTCTTGAATTCGGAATAGAGCAACTGCTTTGGGAGACGGCGGTCGGTCATCCGGACAACATGGCCGGTCCATCAGAGTTGATGGCGGAAGACCATTGCTTCAATGCTGGTGGTCTTTGCTTCTTCCAACACGCTGACGTTTGTCTCCTTGTCTTCCCAAGAGATTTCCAGGATTTTCTGGAGGCAGCACTGATGGAATCGTTCCAGGAGTTGCATGTGACGTCTGTAGACACACACACACACACACTAGAGGCCTTCAACCTGAGCTTCTCACATCAGGCCTTCTTCATACTGAGGCATACTAACACTGAGACCTACCTCACACTGAGGCCTTTCTCCCACTGAGGACTCTCTCAGACTAACACCTCTCTCACACACTGAGGCGAACTAACATTGAAGCCTTCTCATACTGAGCGGCTGAGGGGGAAAGGGAAAGGACCTGAGGCTGTTAGGAATGATAGGAGTTGAAGTCCAAAACACCTCAAGGGCCCAAGTTGGCCCATGCCTGTACTTAAAGCTAAACCTAAGTCAATAGTACTATGCAGCAGTTAAAAAGTCCAATGCTGTTGTGTCTTCCTGCATTGGCAGAAGCAGGCTGGATTGGATGGCCTTTGGGGGTCCCTTCTGTGCCTGGATTTAAATGGGACCTTTTTGGGCATCACTGACAGCCAGACCCCTTTTTTTCCTTACTTAGAACCTGAAGGCGGCCGACGCGGACCCCACGGCGCCCCCTTACGACTCCCTGCTGGTCTTTGACTACGAGGGCAGCGGCTCTGAAGCCGGATCGCTCAGCTCCCTGAACTCCTCTTCCGACGGAGACCAGGACTACGACTATCTCAGCGAATGGGGCAACCGCTTCAAGAAACTGGCTGACATGTACGGCGGAGGCGAGGAAGAGGATTGAAGGCCGGAAGAAAGGGGGCAACGGCCTCTCTTCACCCCAATAGGACTCTCCTGGCTGCCAAACCCATTGTTTGTTTATAATTTTGGGGGGTCCTGCCTCCTGACTTTACATTTCAGAATGTGCCTAAGAGGGTTTCCAAGCCCATCTCTGAATATTTCTCTTTATCCTTCCTGCTGGAGTGCCTCTGGATCCAGGTGCGTCCTTAACTGCAAGATAAAAAATACCTGCAAGGTATTTGCAGCTAGGTTCATAATAAAACCCCCAAATCAGCCTTCGCCACCTTTCCACGGAGCCAAAGGATGCCCATTCCTTGCCATTGGGGCCCTGGGTTAAGTTGGCACCTGGTGACGATGCAAGGGAAGGACTTCAGGTGTGTTTATTTGAGGGAAAGGCAGGTAAAGAAGGTTCCTAGAGCCATGCATTCTGGAGAAAGGCCATCCCATTGCTGCCTCATCGGTTGCCCGGCCTTTGCAACCCTCTCTTCCCTTCCCAAAACAATATCTCTTGTGCTGCCTCTTTTTAAAATCATACTAATGATAAGCCTATCCTAAGTGTCCCTAGATGAGATTGTGGGGCTTTTTTGTTTTTGTACTGTGTATGATATAGACTCTGAGATGATGAAAGGATTGGACAATCAGGGTGTACAAGTTTTAATAAAGGATTTTCTTCTTTTTTAAGAAATCCAGTGTGAGTTGTTTGTGCTTTGAGTCTGCTTTAGGTTAAACGGTCAGAAATCCGCCCAGGATTTGAACACCAAACAGCCCTTTTGCCTTCCCTTCCTTATCACTTGTTTTATTTATATATTTACTATATTTCTATACCAACCTTTTCAGACCTCAGGTGACTCAGGGTGGTTTACAGAGACAACAATTCAATGCCCAAGAACATCATAAAACATTTAAAACATTAATACATAGCATAAATCCATAACAAGAGTAATAAAAACATAAGCCATCTGCGTCTCCAAATTAAAAACAATATCCATCTCGTTGTCCAGTCGTTCCAAGTTCCTATGTCTTCTATATTTAATTTTCAGATGCTTGCTCGAACAGATGCTTGACTCTTTTCCGGAATGTTAAGAGGGAGGGGGCCGATCTAATGTCCCTAGGAAGGACGTTCCATAGCCGAGGGGCCACCATTGAGAAGGCCCTGTCTAAAGCGAACTAACACTGAGACTTTCTCATACTGTGGCCTACCTCACATTGAGGCCTTTCTCCCATTGAGGCCTCTCAGACTGAGGGTTGTCTCAGACAGATGCCTCTTTCACACACTAAGGCGAACTAACACTGAAACCTCATACTGAGGCCTACCTCACATTGAGGCTTCTCAGACTGAGGGTTGTCTCAGACGGATGCCTCTTTCACACGCTAAGGCGAACTAACACTAAGACTTTCTCATACTGAGGCCTACTACCACACTGAGGCCTTCCTTCCACAGAGTCCTCTCTCACTAATTAAGGGTCACTAAGCTAGTAGAGACTAGAGACAAAGTTGAAGTACTTTGGCCACATCATGAGGAGACAGCAAAGCCTAGAGAAGACAATTATGCTGGGGAAAGTGGAAGGTAAAAGGAAGAGGGGGCGACCATGGGCAAGATGGATGGATGGCATCCTTGAAGTGACTGGACTGACCTTGAAGGATCTGGGGGTGGTGACAGCCGACAGGGAGCTCTGGCGTGGGCTGGTCCATGAGGTCACGGAGAGTCGGAAATGACTGAACGAATGAACAACAACGACAACAGAAGCTGAAGAGATCAAGAGAAGGTGGCGATACTATACAGAAGATCTGTATAGGAAGGATAATAATATCGAGGATAGTTTTGACGGTGTGGTGAGTGAATTAGAACCAGACATCCTGAGGAGTGAGGTTGAATGGGCCTTAATGGGCCTTAAGACAACTGAACGAATGAATAACAACAAAGCTACAGGCATACCAGCTTATATTGAATGCAGATTTTGCTGAGTCATTGCATCCATTTAACCCTTTCAGTGCTTGACTCTCATTTTTGTAATTAAAAATACCTAGTTAATTTTATATTTCTGACACAAAGCATATGCAGAATACTTCTTTCTTTCAAGTCATTTCTGACTTGTTGCAATCCTGCAATTTTCTTGGCAAGATTTATCCAGAGTGGTTTTGCAATTCCCTTTCTTGGGATTGATGGGCATTGTAATCCAAAATACATGCAGAATTCTTCTAATCCGCTTTGAAGTCATTTCTGACTCGTTGCAACCCTAAAATGACCCGATCCTGGGGTGTGTGCACTTGTTTTTGCAAGATCTATCCATTAGTGGGTCTGTAGACCTCACTACCTCTGAGGATGCTTGCCATAGATGCAGGCGAAACGTCAGGAGAGAATGCCTCTAGAACCATGATGGCGAACCTATGGCACGTGTGTCAGCACTGACACGCGTAGCCATTTTTGATGACACACAGCTGCATGAGGCCGCATACAGAGAAGATGGGGGCACATCCCAAGAACGATATTTCTTCCTCGGCTCCTACACCAGCATTTTTCTATAATGCCGAGATATATGACATTATAGAAAAAGCAGGTAAGTTAAATAATTAGTTTTTGGTTTATTAAATACAGTTATATATTACAATAATATATTTTTGTTATTAAACTATAAATATCATGAAATTATGGGGGTTTTTTTCTCGAAGTGGCACCCCACTCGAGTTATGCTCGGTTTTTTGGCGAGTATTGACACACCAAGCTCAAAAGGTTGCCCATCATTGCTCTAGAACAGGGGTAGGGAACCTTTGGCCCTCCAGCTGTGGTGGACTTCAACTCCCACAATTCCTTGAGGCTCGGCATTGGGCCAAGGTAAGCCTTTGGGGCGAATGCCGAGCCTCAAGGAATTGTGGGAGTTGAAGTCCACCACAGCTGGAGGGCCAAAGGTTCCCTACCCCTGCACTAGAACATGGCCATATAGCCCGAAAAAACCAACAACCTGGTCTGTAGGTTGTGTTTTCCTGGTTTCCAACAGAGCTCACAAGCTCTGAGAATGCCTGCCATAGATGCAGGTGAAATGTCAGGAGAGAATGCTTCCGGAACATGGCCATATGGCTCGGAAAACTCACAACAAACTAGTGATTCTCGACAATGCTTTGCAAAAGTGTGTCTCAGCAACAATGCAGAGAGGAGGTCCTTGGAGCCCGAAACTGGCCTCCTTCCACCTTCTAAAAGGCCCTTACTCCCCCTTTTGCAGCCCCTTCTCCGGTTTCGGTGCCCCCTTCCCAACAAACTGGTTTGACCGGCTGCATTCCCTCCATCAAAGGCAAGCTTCGAACCCATTTTGCCAAGAAAAGTCCCTATCTTAAGGTGGAAAGGAGAGCTGATATTGCATCCTAAATAGTGAAACCATCCTCAGTGGAAACTTTGCAGCCAAGCCAAACAATTTGAGGGGAAAAATGATAGGAAATTAGGGGAAAATTCCTCTCCTTTTGTCCTTTTCTCATTTGTTTGGGAACCATTTGACCTTGGCCACTGTTTGCTTTGGGGAGAGGAAAGTTTGTTATAGGGTCCTTGAGTCCGAGGCGGATGGGAAATTCTTCTGCAGAGAGAGGCAAACATTCAGTGATAACGGAAAGGCATTCCTTATCATTGGGGGAAAAGGCAATAATAGAAAGAGGAGGAGGAGGAGGAACACAGGTGGAGGGTCAAGGGAGGCCTCTGGCCCATTAATTCGAAGTTTTTGTGTTGTATTGGTTTGACTGTATGCTGCTTTGAGTCTCTTTTTAGAGAGGAAAAGCTGGATATAAATATAAATAATATTAATATTAATAATATTTATATTCTTATTATAAATAATATCAATATTATGGATATTAGTATTATTAGTAGTAGCATTGCATATTTGTATGTAATATTATACTGATAATATTAATAATGCTAATATATAATACTAACATTAATAGTAATTATATTCATAATATGGATATTAGTATTATTAGTAGTAACATTGTATATTTTATGTAGTATTATACTATTAGTATTATACTACTAATAATAATGCTAATATTAATACTAACATTAATACTAATTATATCCATAATATTGATATGAATATTATGGATATTAGTATTATTAGTAGTAGCATTGTATATTTGTATGTAGTATTATACTAATAATATTAATAATGCTAATATTAATACTAACATTAATAATAATTATATCCATAATATTTATATTCTTATTAATAAGAGTATCAATATTGTGGGTATTATTATTAGTAGTTGCATTATATATTAGTATATAGCATTATACTAATAATACAAAAATAATGATAATATTAATATTGTTATTATTATTAGTTGTAGTAGTATAACAATATTATTTATTTACTTTATTTATTTACTTTATTTCTATACCACTTTTCTCAGCCCTCGGGCGACTCATATTAATGCTAATATTAATGCTAAAATTAATAGTATTAATAATATCAACAATATTTCTATTCTTATTAATATCTGTATTATGGATATTACTAATATTAGTATGGTAATATTAATAATATCTGGGTTTGTTGTAGGTTTTTCCGGGCTATATGGCCATGTCCTAGAGGCATTTTCTCCTGACGTTTTGCCTGCATCTATGGCAAGCATCCTCAGAGGTAGTGAGGACCTCACTACCTCTGAGGATGCTTACTATAGATGCAGGCGAAACGTCAGGAGAAAATGCCTCTAGGACATGGCCATATAGCCCGGAAAAACCTACAACAAACCCAGTGATTCCGGCCATGAAAGCCTTCGACAATACATTAATAATATAAATAATATTAATATTATTAATAATGATAATATTAATACTAAAATTAATAGCATTAATAATATAAATAATATTGCTATTCTTATTATTAATATCAATATTATGGATATTATTATGGATATTATTAGTATTATATCTTAGTATTATAGTCTTGATATTATAGTATTGTTGATATTACAGTATTGATATTATTATTAATAATAATAATAATGAAACTTTGGCATTGAATGAAAAGTATAGATATCTGGGTTTGAGCACTGGGTGACTTTAGGCGAGTCGCACTCTCTCAGCCTCAAATGAATGGCGAACTCTCCTCTGCACAGATCTTGACAAGATCTAAATATAACAACAAGCAGTTAAAGTAGGGGCAAAACATTTGGGGGTGTCGTTTCCATATTGTCCAGCAGAGGGCGGCAGAGGGCTAGCCTTTGGAGTGCTTGGACTCTTTTTCAAGGCCACACCTGGATGCAGGTATCATAGGAAGGTACACTTAGAATCATAGAATCATAGAATCAAAGAGTTGGAAGAGACCTCATGGGCCATCCAGTCCAACCCCCTGCCAAGAAGCAGGAATATTGCATTCAAATCACCCCCGACAGATGGCCATCCAGCCTGTTTAAAAGCTTCCAAAGAAGGAGCCTCCACCACACTCTGGGGCAGAGAGTTCCACTGCTGAACGGCTCTCACAGTCAGGAAGTCAGTCACTTAGCACCAACACACTTGGGCAAGGAAGGCTCAAAACCCTGCAAAACTACACTTCCCATGATTCCATAATAATATTAACCATAACCATATATATTTTATTTATTACCTGTCTCTCCTTGCATCTTGAGACAGGTAATAAAATGTATAATACCATATTCATATTATTTATTCATTTCAAGTTGCAAGGAGAGGTGGCTATTATATTATAATAAATGAATTTTAATATAGCAATCATAATAAATGGTACTTATTACCCTCTCCTGATGCCTCAAATATATAGTTATATTATAATATATGTATATGTAAGGTAAAGGTAAAGGTAGTCCCCTGACATTAAGTCCAGTCATGTCTGACTCTGGGGTGTGGTGCTCATCTCCATTTCTAAGCCAAAGAGCCAGTGTTGTCCGTAGACACCTCCAAGGTCATGTGGCCGGCATGACTGCATGTATATGTAAGTTTATATATATTTATATTTTAAATATACGAGGGAAGTTCATGAAATATTTCCTCTGACCAAGTTCCTGTGAACTGAGAGCAGTGAAACGTGGCCCAGTTCTGAGTCCTTCTCTCCATGAGTGCCATGTCGGGACACACACTTCTCCCATCTTTTGAAGCAACTGTCAACACCTCGCTTGTGGAAGTTGACAGGTTGTTCCAAAAGCCACGTTGTGATTTCAGAAATCAGAGACTCATCACCTGAAAAATGTTTCCCCTTCAAAAATAACTTCATTGTTGGAAAGAGGTGGAAGTCTGATGGTGTGAGGTCAGGTGAATCAGGGGGATGCCCCAGTGATCCTGGTCCCCTTTGCTAGGAAATCCATCCATCCTACTCATGCTGGTCCCAAAATACAGTGATCATGACCTTGCCTGGTGAGAGCTGGGCACGTGCCTTCTTTGGAGGCGGTGAGTCAGAATGCTTCCATTGCATCGACTGGACTTTGGTCTCAGGATCAGAGTGATGGACCTAGCTTTCATCTTGTGAATGAATGAATGAATTGTTTACTGTACAGTGCTGCAGAATTTGAAGAGGCACGAATGGAGGCCGAAAGAGAGAAACATGCTAAGAGGAAGGTGCGTAAAGCCAACCCCGACCAGGACCGCCTTCCACCTGGAAACCGATGCCCTCACTGTGGGAGAAAATGCAGGTCAAAAATAGGGCTCCATACTTACTTACTTAGGCAATCCCTCATCCGAGGATGATGGTCCTCCAAGGTCAGTGTTCTGTCGGTGGGTTCGTAGGTGACCTGAATATTCTCCCGCAGTGAGGGCATTGGTTTCCAGGTGGAAGGCGGTCCTGGTTAGAGTTGGCTTGAAGCGCCTTCCTCTTGGCACATTTCTCTCTTTCACTCTCCATTCATGCCTCTTCAAATTCTACAGCAGTGCTGGTCACAGCTGACCTCCAGCTGGAGTGCTCAAGGGCCAGGGCTTCCCAGTTCTCAGTGTCTATGCCAGAGTTTTTAAGGTTGGCTTTGAGCCCATCTTTAAATCTCTTTTCCTGCCCACCGACATTCCGTTTTCCGAGTTAGGAATAGAGAGGGGGGGGTGGCGGGGGGGGGGGGGGCGGGGCTTCAGCCCCCCCCCCGAAATTCTCATGGTGGTTCGCGAAAAGGCCTTACTGGTGCATTATTTAAACTGTTGTTTATTCATATCATGATCTGATCACCATACTCAATATATCCCATATGCATGGGGGTATTGGGGTAATGATACAAAAGGTTTGCTAGGCTAGACCCTCTTTCACTCAGACTCAGCCCCCCCCCCCGAAACTCAGCCCCCCCAAAACCCCCCCTGAAAAAATCCCCCCCCCCCCCCGAAACGAAATCCTGGCTACGGGCCTGCCTTTTAGGGCTCCACAGTCACCTATGGACCCACCGCCAGATACTACACTTGGAGGACCATCATCCTCGGACTACAAGGGATTGCCTAAGTAAGTAAGTAAGTGAAAAACAATAAATAATAAACTTTGTATTGTCGAAGGCTTTCATGGCCGGAATCACTGGGTTTGTTGTAGGTTTTTCCGGGCTATATGGCCATGTTCTGGAGGCAATTTTTCTCCTGACGTTTCGCCTGCATCTATGGCAAGCATCCTCAGAGATAGTAAGGTCTGTTGGAAGTAGGAAAAATGGGTTTATATATCTGTGGAACGACCAGGGTGAGACAAAGGACTTTTGAAATCCACAAACAATTTCAACAGAAAGGAAGAAACCATGAAAATGAACAAAATCTGGCTACCAGTATTAAAGGACTCAAAAATTACAACAGCAAAACAACAGAGGGGAAACAAACAGGCACATAAAATCACTCTCAACAAAAGATTCCCCCCAGGCACTTCCAAGCCATTGAATGCTAATCAAGGTGATCAGCTGAAACATTCACAGCTAGCCCCAGCAGACAAAAGTCCTTTGTCCCACTCTGGTCATTCCACAGATATATAAACCCATTTTTCCTACTTCCAACAGACCTCACTACCTCTGAGGATGCTTGCCATAGATGCAGGCGAAACGTCAGGAGAAAAATTGCCTCCAGAACATGGCCATATAGCCCGGAAAAACCTACAACAACCCAATAATAAACTTTATTTATACCCCGCCACCATTTCCCTAAAGGGGACTCGGGGCGGCTAACCTGAGGCCAAGCCCAAAGATACAATACAACAAAATAAAATACAGAATGCAGACAAAAAAAATTCAAACAGTAGCAAAATAAAATAAACAAAGCAAATTAACACAATATAAAGGCAAGCAGAATTGGATTATATGAGTCTACACTGCCATATAATCCAGTTCTAAGAACATGGTAATAATAATCTGGATTCAGAAAGTGTATTTTAAAAAAATATTGTTTTATAGTGTACTAGCGGTCCCCTGCCACACGTTGCTGTGGCCCAGTCTGGTGATCTAATGAAAAACTGTTGGTTTCTAATATATGTAATGTCTTTATGTTTGTGGGTAAAAAGTATTTCTTGCTGTTTCTTTGCCAGTGTTGATGTGGAGATTGTCTGGTTTGCCTACTCTGAAACATCCAACATATCATTGTCCTTAGGGGTCCCTTTCAAATCTTTGATACTGCATCTGTCATCTACATATATGTCTGTCTGTGAATGGCTAAATGGCCCTTTGTCAGGAGGGCTTTGATTATGTTTTCTTTCCCTGGTGAAGGGAATTGGACTGGATGGCCTTAAGGCCGCATTTCTCAACCTGGGAAGTCATGCCGTTTCTGTGTGGGAAGTTTGCCCCAATTCTATCTTTGGTTGGGTTCAGAATGCTCTTGGATTGTAGGTGAACTATAAATCCCAGTAAGTACAACTCCCAAATGTCAAGGTCTATTTTCCCCAAACTCCATCTGTGTTCATATTTGGGCATATGGAATATTCGTGCCAAGTTTAGTCCAGATCCATTGTTTGAGTCCACAGTGCTCTCTGGATGTAGGTGAACTACAACTCCCAAACTCAAGGCCAATGCCCACCAAACCCTTTCAATATTTTCTGTTGGTCATGGGAGTCCTGTGTGCCAAGTTTGGTTCAATGCCATCATTGGTGGAGTTCAGAATGCTCTTTGATTGTAGGTGAACTATAAATCCCAGTAACTACAACTCCCAAATGTCAAGGTCTATTTCCCCAAACTCCATCTGTGTTCATATCTGGGCATATGGAATATTTGTGCCAAGTTTGGTCCAGATCCATCATTGTTTGAGTCCACAGTGCTCTCTGGATGTAGGTGAACTACAACTCCCAAACTCAAGGTCAATGCCCACCAAACCCTTCCAGTGTGTTTCTGTTGGTCATGGAAGTCCTGTGTGCCATGTTTGGTTCAATTCCATCATTGGTGGAGTTCAGAATGCTCTTTGATTGTAGGTGAACTATAAATCCCAGCAACTACAACTCCCAAATGTCAAGGTCTATTTCCCTCAAACTCCATCTGTGTTCATATTTGGGCATATGGAATATTCATGCCAAGTTTGGTCCAGATCCATCATTGTTTGAGTCCACAGTGCTCTTTAGATGTGGATGAACTATAATTCCCAAACTCAAGGTCAATGCCCACCAAACCCTTCTAGTATTTTCTGTTGGTCAAAGGAGTTCTGTGTGCCAAGGTTGTCTGCTTGCAAGGAGCACACCTGCCCAGGAGAGAGAAAAATGAGGGGGTGGGCGGGGCCTCATTGAGGAGTGGGCGGGGCTTGTGTGGAGTGGGAGGGGCTTCCCACCTGCACTGATGTGCCTCTTCCTTCTCAGCTCAGAGTTAGTTGGCTTTGCAAGCTTTGCAGACGCTTCTTCACCTTTGGCTCCTTCACTTTCTATGGGGAGGACCCTGTTTGGACGCCCCTTGGGGCTGTCCCCATGGATGCCCTTCCTCCTCATCCAGGTAAGACCCTAATGGGAAGGTTTGGGGGTGCCCAAGGAGCCAGAAAGCACTCTGTGCATGCTCAGAGGCAACTGGAAACTCCCTTGTAGGTCAAAATACGCCATTTGAATGGAAGGGGATCCAACGAGAGCCAATGGGGAAACTGGGGTACAGCTTTTGCTCCCCAAAATAGCAAGCAATGCTTGGAAAAGTTCCTATTTTCCTGGAAAAGTTACTTTTTTTGTTTGGGAGCTGTCCTTCAAATGCTGGTTTAATGTTTGCGCATTGGTATGTTTTCAGTTTATATATACACCAAATAGCAAAAATAGTTACTTTAAAGGCAAGTCAAATCAGTGGGTGTGGGCCTTGTCAAACTATATCTCCCAGGCTTCCATCGCATTGATTCTAAAGTTATGTCAAACTTTATCAGTGTCAACAGTGCAGCCCTTCTCTCTTGACTTTCCCTTTCCTGCCTTCATAGGGTTTCTTATGTGTTTTGGGGACCACCGAGGAAGCCCCGTGCCAGCCAGGCTTCCTTTCAGAGAACTACGTCTTCCACGTCCCGAGGGTGGACTTGGAACGGAACCGGGTCTTGGGCCGAGGTAAGATCGAGAACCCCAACTTTTCCCCCGGGTTCTGGATTTGTCGTCCGTCTTGCGTCACCCTTTTGGGAGTTTCCCTATGTCTTTCCTGAATTGTATTGACCCTGATCACCCATGAAAGTCATGATGATGACGATGGAATTGATGACGATGATGATGACAGCGATGGTTTGCTCACCAGTTTCAAGCCCCCAGTTTCTATGGGTCTCCTCCAGTTCTGCTAGGCTTGGATCCATTATCGTTATTATAATATATTTATATTTATATCCCACTTTTTATCTATTCATTGAGATCAATAATAATTGTATACTTAGTGGCTCAGGCTATTATTATATTTATATCCCACTTTTATCTCTTCATTGAGACCTTATGCTGTTCAGAGTATTATTACTATTATTATATTTATATTTATATCCCACTTTTATCTCTTCATTGAGACCTTATGCAGCTCAGGCTATTATTACTATTATTATTATATTTATATTTATATCCCACTTTTATCTGTCAATTGAAACCATAAGTGGCTTGGGTTATTATTATTATTATTAGTAATAATAATAATAATATATTTATATCCCACTTTTATCTGTCCATTGAGACCATAAGTGGCTCGGGTTATTGTTATTATTATTATTATTATTATTATTATTATTATATTTGTATCCCACTTTTATCTCTTCATTGAGACCTTAAGCAGCTCAGGCTATTATTATTATTATTATATTTATATTAATATCCCACTTTTATCTGTCCATTAAGACGATAAGTGGCTCGGGTTGTTGTTATTATTATTATTATTATTATTATTATTATTATTATATCCCACTTTTATCTCTTCATTGAGACCTTATGCAGCTCATGCTATTATTACTATTATTATTATTACTATTATTATTATTATTATTATTATAGCCCACTTTTATCTCTTCATTGAGACCTTATGCAGCTCGTGCTATTATTACTATTATTATTACTATTATTATTATTATATTTATATCCCACTTTTATCTCTTCATTGAGACCTTATGCAGCTCATGCTATTATTACTATTATTATTATTACTATTATTATTATTATTATAATATTTATATCCCACTTTTATCTGACAATTGAGACCGTAAGTGGCTCGGGTTGTTGTTGTTGTTATTATTATTACTATTACTATTATTATTATATTTATATTTATATCCCACTTTTATCTCTTCATTGAGACCTTATGCAGCTCACGCTATTATTATTACTATTATTATTATTATTATTATTATTATATAGAGTTATATTTATATCCCACTTTTATCTGTCCATTGAGACCACAAATGGTTCGGGCTGTTATTATTATTATTATTATTATTATTATTATTATTATTATATTTATATCCCACTTTTATCTGTCCATTGAGACCATAAGTGGTCGGGTTATTATTATTATTATCATCATATCCCACTTTTATCTGTCCATTGAGATCATAAGTGGCTCAGGCTATTATTATTATATTTATATTTATATCCCACTTTTATCTGCCCATTGAGACCTTAAGTGGCTCAGGCTATTATTATTTTTTATTATTATTATATTTATATTTATATCCCACTTTTGGGGTCCCTGGTGGCGCAGCGGGTTTGCTCCCCTCCCTCCCTTATTTCTTTCCTTCCTTCCAATCTATTGTGGAGCCAGGGCTCACCCTCCACTCTGCTTTGGTTTCAAACTGCATTGGTCCTCCTGTTTGGAAGACATTCCAAGCTATTTGTGGATTTCCTTCCTTCCTTCCTTTTTTCCTTCCTTATTGTGGAGCCAGGGTTCACCCTCCACTCTTCTTTGGTTTCGAACTGCATCAGTTCTCCAGTGTAGATGCACTCAATGTTGATGTGTGTCATGCTATAATTTCCAAAAGAATTGGGAGCCGGGAAAGGGTTAACTTGCAGGTGTTTTTCCGCAATGCAAGGTGGGGCCCTTAAGAAAGAGAGAAAGAAAGAAAGGGCCTGTCTCAGCTTGCAAAGCAGGGCGGGTTTCTGATTTGCTCATTTGAACTTTGCCAGTCCTTCTGTGGCGGTTACCTGCCTGCCGTATTTCCAAGGCTTATCGCATTCTTTGCCGTGCAAGGCCGAGCCTGTTTTGTGTCAATAATATAGCTCCGTGAATCATTTACCTGCTGCCCTTTGCTGCTTCCTGGTTGGGTCTGGGCTCCAAAAGGTGCATCCGCTGCACCAGCGCTTTCCAAACAGTGTATTGGACAAGAAGACACAGCCAAAGCCCTCCCAACAGATGTTCATCCAGCCTCTGTTTCGAAGACTCCAGGGAAGGAGACTTCACTGGACTTGCAGGGAGTCTCTGCATCACTAGAGTTGGAAAGGATCCCCAGAGGGCATCTAGTCCAATCCCCTTCAGCCAGACAGGAAGTCACAAACAAAGCCCTCCCAACAGATGACCATCCAACCTATATTTTGAAGCCTCCAGAGAAGGAGACTCCATTAGACTTGAAGGGAATCTATATTTCACTAGAGTTGGAAGGGATCCCTGGAAGGCATCTAGTCCAACTCCCTCTCAGCCAGGCAGGAAGGCACAATCAAAGCCCTCCTGACCAGATGACCATCCAGCCTCTGTTTTGAAGCTTCCAGGGAAGGAGACTCCACTGGATTCGCAAGGAGTCTATACTTCACTATTATTGGAAGGGACCCCTAGAGGGCATCTAGTCCATCCCCCCTTTCAGCCAGATGGAAAATCACAACAGATGGCCATCCCAACAGATGGCCATCCAGCCGCTGTTCAAAGCCTCCAGGGAAGAAGACTCCACTGGACTTGGAAGGAGTCTATATTTTACCAGAATTGAGACCTGCAGAGGGCATCTAGTCCAACCCCCTTTCAGCCAGATGGGAAGTCACAATAAAAGCCCTCCCAACAGACGGCCATCCAGCCTCTGTTTTGAAGTTTCCAGGGAGGGAGACTCCACTGGACTTGCAAGGAGTCTACATTTCCCTAGAGTTGGAAAGGATCCCCAGAGGACATCTAGTCCAACCCTCTTTCAAGCTGATGAAAAGTCACAATAAAAGCCCTCCCAACAGACGGCCATCCAGCCTCTGTTTTGAAGCTTCCAGGGAGGGAGACTCCACTGTACTTGCAAGGAGTCTATATTTCACTAGAGTTAGAAGGGACCCCCAGAGGGCATCTAGTCCAAGCCCCTTTCAGCCAGGTGGGAAGTCAGAATTAATCCCTACAAAAGTAGGGATACTGCTAGAAAAAGTGACACAAAAATCAACTGTAGGTCATATGAAGCATAGAGGGACCATTTCCAAACTTTGTTTATACAGCCAATATATATTATTTATTATTATATTTATTAGTACTCTATTTGTTGTATTCCTCACCCCTTGACGGAATATTTCCTGTTGATTTTTGCATTGCAAAACCAGCGTGAAAAGAGCAACGCAATGGAGCCACTTCCCATTTTGGGACTGAGTCAGTCCGCTCCTGGCATTATTGATGATGCCTTCAGGATAGTGGTCATTTCCGGCAGCAATATTTCTTATTTGGGTGACTTGATTTGGTTCAGAGAGTGCATTCGCCTTGTGCAATTGGTACCATTTGACCCCACTTCATCTGCCCTGCCTGATAAATTCTATGCCACCCTGGGAGTTGTAGTTTTCCAACACCTGTCACCTCCACTACAACTCCCACGATCCCATAGTATTGGGAGTTAGAGTAGGGTCGAAATGCATTAATTCCACAGTGGAGATGTGCCCAGAGAAAGCTATGGGCCTTGAGAAACTACAACTCCCACAGCATTGGGGGTTAGAGTGGAGTTGAACTGCATTAATTCTACAGTGGAGATGCACCCAGATAAAGTTATGGACCTTGAGAAACTACAAACCTCAGGATCCCATAGCATTGGGGGTTATACTACAGTCGAACCACATTGATTCTACAGTGGAGGTGCACCCAAAGAATACTATGGACCTTGAGAAACCACAACTCCCAGGATCCTATAGCATTGAGCCATGGCAGTGAAAGTGGTGGCAAACTGCATTCATTCTATGTGTCAAGGCAGGAATAGAAACAGATGGCGAATGGAATGGAACAGGTGAGCAGAGGAGGTGAAGAGGTGGGTTCAATGGAGTGGAAAGAGCCGAGGAAGGTGAAAATGGCGCTCCTTTTTGCGAAATGGCAGCTTCTGTTCCTTTTTGCCTCTTTTGTCCTCGTCTGCCCTGGAAGCAGAAGGAAAAGGAGGAGGGAGATGTCGCAACTTTTTTGCAAATCTCACCTCAATCCATAGTTATTGCAAGACCAAAACGGCTCACCTGGGCCAACCTTTCCCTGATCTTGCCTTTTGTTCTGCTCCAATGGGTGTGTCTATACTGTAGAATTGATGCAGTTTGGCACCACTTTCACCGCAATGGCTCAATGCTTTGGGAATCCCGGGAGTTGTAGTTTGATATGGCAGAAGAAGTTAAATACTGTGTATTATTATTATTATTATTATTATTATTATTATTATTATTATTATTGCCATAATATGAAAGAGCAACAGTATAAAACAAGTATGGACAAACCCAGGCCCGGGGGGGGGGGGGGATGCGGCCCCTTGGGCTCTTTTCTCCAGCCCTCCTCTCTCCCCTCCTATCCTTCTCCTTCCTTCCTTCCTTTCTTTTCTTCCATCTTTCCTTCCTCCTGCCTTCCTTCCTCTCTTCCTTCCTCCTTCCTTCCTTCCCTCCCACCTTTCTTCATCTCCCTTTCCTTCTTTCTCTCTTTTCCTTCCCTTCCCTTCCTTTCCCTCTTCATCTTCCTCCCTTTTGTCTTTCCTTCCTTTCTTTTCCTCCCTCCTCCTTCCCTCCCTCTTTCTCCTTCCATCCTTCCCTTCCCCCCTTTCTCCTTCTTCTTCCCTTTCTCTCTCTTCCTTCCTTCCTCCTCTCCCTTCTCCCTCTTTCTCCTTCATTCTTCTTTCCTTTCTCCTTCCTTTCCTCTTTTCTTCCTCCTTCCCTTCCTTCATTTCCTTCCACCCTGTCTT